ACTGCCAGGAGCACTTGTTCGTGTGGGATCTCGGTTGGTATCGAGCGAATGTGCCTGGTGCTGATTGTCACTGCTAGGAGCATTTGTTCGTGTAGGATCTCGGTTGACATCGAGGGAATGTGCCTCGTGCTTCGATCCACTTTCGCTCTCATTGTTGATCTCCGCTCTTACATCACGTTGCACCTCTGGTGCGTTAGAGCTGCCTCCAATCCTCTGCCGTTTCTTCGTTGGTGGCTCTTCCAGATGATCCTCGGAGTTTGCACCCATCTGAACCGATGGGGAAGTGTGACTCGGAAATGATGGTGCGATCGGCTTGGATCTGAAGAAATTCATCTCGAGATTGAAGGGATGCCGGCCGTTGATTTGACTTGGAACCTCGAAAGAGAATTCCTGCTTGATAACCTCTTCATCGTCCATATCTCGCTCTGAATAGTCAATGCGGTTGCTGTGAAAGGTTGAAAATTCACGCTTCTTAGCCGGCCCAGAGTGCGTTGTATAAAGAGTGTTGCTTCCTTCGGCATGGATTCTCCTAYGTTCCGAGCGAGTTGTGACTGTCCTTTGTCCTGATCTCACATCCTCGGGATTTTCTTGCGCACTCCGCTCGAGCTCGACTTTGGAAGGTGTGGACGTACCCATAATGTTGACGAAGCGCTGGATACGAACGTCAATCTCCCCATCAGCGTTCCGGAATGGGATGTCCTCCCGCTCGCCGCGGTGGCTTTCATGACACGGAATCGTACCATTACAGATCAGAGGCATGATCCTATACTTGATGATTTCGGTCCGCCTTTCCTTCAAATTGCCAGCCTTACCCGTCCTTATCAACTCCTCAATTTCTGACCATTGCTCCCATCCAGCACCTTCATCTTTGCCAAAGTAGCTGTCCTCCTCGCAGAAATCTAGAAGTTCCTGATCGATGCCATCCCACCAAGTGAAGTTGGGTGGCGGTAGGTCGTCGTTGCCTTTGACGCGGTAGCCAAGCGTGCATTTCAAAGCCCGGCGCGAGACTGATCCTTTGACGAACTTGTCCTGATACTGAGAATTGGGCCGGACGCACGCAAAGACATCTTCGTCGTGTGTAGTGCTGGAAGCGTTACTCCACTCCCACTTCTGAGTGAATATCCGAAATCGATCGCCGTCGATCTCAACCGAGTATTGATTTTGAGCTGTCATTTTGGAAGTAGTTGGGCAGGTATGAAAGCTTCGCTCTCGAGTTTCTGCGGCAAGTGGATGGTGCCGAGTGTCAGTGGTGAGTGGATAGCGCCGAGTGTCTGTAGTGAGTTGATGGTGCCGAGTTTCTGTGGTGAGTTGAGAGTGCTGAGTGTCTTCAAGAAGGCAATGTCTGTGGACACGCAGGGAAGAGGTGTTGTTATGTTGATGTGAAGTGACAAAGATGTGTGATGGGAAAGGTAGTGTTGAGTATGCGAAAGTTTGAGGTTGAAGAAGGGTGAGGTTGAAGAAGGGTGAGGTTGAAGAAGGGTGAGGGTGAAGAAGGGTGAGGTTGAAGAAGGGTGAGGTTGAAGAAGGGTGAGAGTGAAGAAGGGTGAGGCGACTGCGAGAGTGTAAAGTCGACAAAGAGGGATGAAACTGCATGAAAGTGAGGTGGACCTGGAGTAACGAGATATTGCATGTGTAAGTCGACGGAGAGGGATGAAACTGCGTGAAAGTGAGGTGGACGTGGAGTAATGAGATATTGCATGTGACAAGGCTTACTCCGACTTCACGTATCAACACACCAAATCCTATATCCTATATTAGCTTTCCATGATATACATCCCTCCTCACAACAACCTCCCCACCAACAACAACACCACCCACCCCAGCATCCACGGCACAAGCGCCATCACCACCCACCCCATGATCCACCCCAGCCAACCTTTTTGCGCATCAACCACATCCAACATACCCTTCTTCTTCTCCACCACCTCCTGGCCCTCCCTCCACGGCACACCAACCCTCAAATCCCCACAGATCTGCTCGACAACCAATCTCGCGCCCGCAAGCACAATCGGCACTCCCGTCCCCGGATGCGCACTCGCACCAACCATATACAAGCCCTGGACATCCCTCCCCCAGGGCCCCAAACTCCTCACAGCATCAACAACACTCTCTCCCACCCTGCCCACAACGCCCAATTCCTTGCACACGGGATCCAGAAGCGCGGGACGTCTCGCGCGAGTCGAGGGGCGAAAGCACAAGACGTTGAAGAAGGAATGCGACAAGCCCAGAATCGCTCCTTTGTCGAGATTGAACCGCTCCTTCCATGTGTGCGGATCATTGCTCTGCTCATGCACAATCAACGGGCCGAGATCCACTCCCGTCCTCGCCTCGACGGTTGCCAGAATCGTCTTCCTCGCCAGAGATATCATCTTCGGCCAATCCTGCACATTCGTAGGATCCACCCCAGCACCACCCTTGCCACCACCCTCGGTTTCCGTCAGATTTCCCACGGGAACCAACACCACCACGGAATCTTTCCCCTGCGGCGCCGCGCTTCCATCGACTCTGCTGGGAACGTTGACATAAAAGGAAGGTTCGTCCGGGATCAAGTGTCGTTTGAAAATGCTATCAAAACTCTCCTTGTAACATTCGGCGAGGAAGATGTTGTGTGCTTGCAATTCGGGGACTTGTTTCGAAAGACCCCAGTAGAAGGAGATGCTACTGCAGCTCCCGGGGCGGGATTTCAAATTCTCCGCATAGCTGGGAGATTGTTGCGTGGAGAGGAGGGTGGAGTAGGCGTAGACCAGATCCGAGTTGTTCACCACCACGTCCGCGGTGAGCATTTCCCCCGATTCCAGTTCCACTCCTTGCGCTCGCATTCCCGTTGCATCCAACACAATCTTCTTGACGGCCGTGTTCAATCGATATTCCACCCCCAATCTCTCCCCAACCCCGACCAGCGCCTCCACCACCCTCCAAAACCCACCTACGGGATACCAAATGCCCTCAGCCAATTCCGTATACTGCAGCAAGCTATACGTCCCCGGCGCATCAAAAGGACTCATCCCCATGTACATGCTCCCAAATGTAAACACCCGCCTTAACCTCTCGGTCCGGAAATATCGACTCACCCGGCCCCAAATACTCTCAAAAGGATGCAACCTCAACACATTTCTCAAAAAATCCCACCGCAACATGGCCACGATGCCCTCGAAATTCCTCAACAACACATGTTCCACACTCAACTCGTAATGCCGATGCCCTTCCCCCATCCACTCCAAATACCTCTCAAACCCGCCTTTGCCCTCCCACTTCTCCACCTCGCCCTTCATCACCCCCAAATCACTCGACAACTTCACACACTCACCATCATGACACCAGACATGATAATTCGGCTCGCATTTCCTCAACTCCACCCCCTCAACCTCCAAACTCGTGCCCAACTCTCGGAAAGTCCGCTTGAACATTTCCGGCAGCAGCAGTAAACTCGGTCCCTGATCGAATCGGTATTCCCCATCGGGGGAATGCAGGAGCGAACATCGMCCACCGGTATGATTATTCTTCTCCAGAACCGTGACGGAGAAGCCAGCGCGGGCGAGACGGGCGGCTGTTGCAACGCCACCTGCTCCGGCGCCGATGATCACTGCCGTCCGTTTCTTCTGAGGAGGAGCATTGCTCGTCTTGGACATGATCTCGGAGGAGGATGAAGCAGTCGGGAAATGAGGAAGTGGCGGGGATGTTTGTGAGTGATGATGGCGTGAGGTGAGATTGAGATGATGGCCATTGAGAATGGAATTGGCACACGACGAACCTGGAAGCTTACGGAGCTACGTGGTCCGGGGGTTTCACATGTCAACAAAAAGTCATGACGATCGCTGTCCGCGCGATCGGGTGGGGAAGGAAACGGACATGGGTCCGCTGTCCTGACCTCCTACAGTATCTTGGCGGCTAGCAGCTCAGTCAGCCGTACGAAATGAGCAACTAATCATATCTTTTACACAGAATGGTGCCTCGAAGAGATAGCTACCAGTTGTGCCCTTGTTTGTCCTCGTTAGAAACGGATCTTACTCCGAAGATGATATGCCAGTAGAATGAAACCGAACATGGATATAATATCGTATAAAAGCATTGACGACGGATGTTGGTCTCACGCACTTTTTTGTCCTCCATCCTTTACATAGAGGGGAGACATACACAAGTATAATTGTGGATGTCGCGATATATCAACAGTTTCCTACAGCCTTCACTATTCTACACCCATATCCATCTTGTCATCACACAACTCAACATCCATAGTATGAACAATCTCTTACAGCCATCGCTACATCTACATCCATATCCATCTTTTCACAACACAACCAACAAGCACGAGCATAGACAACAACATCATCACACTCCTCCCCTCCTGGCACCACACAGCGCCCTCCAAGCAACGACAGTCCTCTTCCACTTGGGCACACTAGCCTTCTCCCCTCCTCGAACATTCCCCTCCCGCAACTCCCTCCCAATCTGCATATAACTCTCCACCGCAACTCTCATCCCTCCTCTTCCCTCGACCGGAAGTTGTTCGATGGCGCCCACACTCCCGGCATACAATTCAAAGGCACGATCCAGCAACTTCCTCCGCACACCCTCCACTTTCCTCTGGAATCCTGCATCGTCCTGCCCAACATTCACCAATCCATGGAGGAATATCTCCGGAGTGAGTCCCTCTTCTTTCAACCATGCCGGTGGAACATAACATCTCCTCAACCTGGCATCAACGGCAAGATCTCTTGCGATGTTGACGTACTGCAACGCGATGCCCATTCTCGACCCGGCATCCATCAGCTTCCTTTCATCCTCCCTTGATTTGGCATGATGGAACAGGACGAGCTGGATACAAAGTTCCGCCACGGTCCCCGCGACTCTGGCACCATACCGGTCCAGATCGTCAACACTCTTGATGGGTCCCGCGACCTTTTTCCTCTCATCATCAAACTGGAGGTCCATTTCGAAGCCTTGTAGTAGGCCGTCCAGTGGTCCGCGAGCCATTCGGTCGGTGGGAAGGAGCATGAGGGTCAACTGAGCGTCCGGTGGGAAGTTTTGCACAGTATACAGCGTGGCAGGACCGCGGTTCCGATCCTTGGCATCGACTTGCATTCCCTGTGCATTCTTCATCGGAGYAGCATAGCAGAGGTCAAGGTAGTATTTCAATTTCCCCACCCACTCCTTCGCTTCGGCGCGGCTCCTCGCATTGTCGATCAGATCATCCGCGACGCGACAGAAGGAGTAGAGCAGGACCAAATCCAGTCGCAGTCGGCCGTGGAAGGTACTCGAGGCCAAGTAAAAGGATCGGGATTTCCTCTGCAGGCGAGCGACGGATTGACGATAGCCATCGATCCGGTCCTGGTCGTATGATCCAGCGGGGAGGAGGAGTGCTTTGACGAGCAGTGCTGGACTCGGCAGAGCGGGAACGCGAGGAAAGTGTGCGGGGTGGGCATTCAAGACTGCAATGGAGTTGTCGAAAGCCACCAAGCCCGCGACTATCAAGGCGTTTGTGAGAAGGAAGAAGATGGCCTCTTCAATCTCCAGATTGGGCCAGAGCTCCACACCCGTCTTGGTTCCCGAGGAGATGACCCATGTGCCGCGTCGGAGAGCCAGAGTATCGACCAGCCAGAGGTAGAGGGTGGGGATGGCAATGGGAACGAGGGTGCTGGTGATTGGCAAGTTTAGAAGGAATTGATATGCCAGACTCCACAGCAACAGCAAGAATGGCAGAGCCCAGATGAGGATCAAGCCCAGGTATGTCTTGTCTCCACCCTTTTGAATCCAATCCCACGCACTCTTGATGCCCATGGCAAGGGCAATCTGCCCGGCAATCTTGACCGTCTTCCATCTTCTTCCCGATGCTGTCGACCGATCCTCTGCCACCAAATGGCATTCTTTCAATGCAGGTCGGGAGAGCAAAAGGTAGAGCAGCGTGGTGTTGTAGGTCTGAATGACGAAGAAGAAGACTTCCTCGTAGGGAATGGCGAAGAGAGTTCCACCGAAGACGGCATCGGGAGGGTAGGACCAGATGTTGGTGCGGATGAGGTAGGAATCCCAGGGAATGGTCGACGTCACGGCGATGGAGATGAGGAAGAGGACGCGATAGGCGTCGAGGCGGGTGAGGAGCGGATACGAGATGAAGGTGAGGATGAGGGCGGGAGGGAGGTTGTAGTGGAGGTGACTGTGGTTAAGGTCAGTCTTGTATTATTGCGGGATTTCTGATGTGAATCATGGTGATGCATCCATGATTGAGATGGTAGATGCACACTCACACCCTCGCGTAGTCCCAACCCATTCTGACCTGTTTCTTGGGATGGATTTGTTCCCGAGCTTGCTAACTTTCACCAGATGCCTTTTCGTCGGTCATGCAAGAAACGCAAAAGAAGGAAATAGAAAGAAAAGAGTGTTGTTGCTGCGATTTCCTCCGATTCCTGGCTTTTGCAGTCTCTGGACGCTCCATCATCACTCTCGGGACATGTTGAGGTGGATGAAGACCAAGACCAGAGGCCAACCTGCCCGGACAGGCTCTAGGACAGGGCAAGGGCCTGTGAAGACTACCACCTAAGCTACGCAGAAATGCCCGTCGGCCAGCCAGCCAGCTACCTACCTTACCTGAAATATTTCGTGGCTACCTACCTTGGACTTAGTCTACTACTGAGCTTAGTACCTCACCGCACTGMTCACCCAACCAACAAACCAACCTTGCGACACGCAGCACTCGCAACACCTCCATTGCCCCCGGAGTTCGGCATGGGCATGGGCATGGCCCATGCATGGAACGGAACGGATCGTTGGTTTGAGAGATGAGAGGGGCACAGCCGACGGAACTTGCCATCGGTGGAACCGCGGCGTTTCAGACCTCCGCTTTTTCGTTCGGACGGGAGGTACGAACTTAGATTGGCGCTCGATCTTCCAGGTCTGCCAGGCCGCCGGGCCCACCGGGACCACGACGTCACACCACAACTGACTTGGGACTTGGAAGCTTCTGCTGCTAGGCGAGACAGCTTCCGCCCAGCCCGCCGTTCGCGACCGTTGAGATTGCCTTGGCCTGGATGATGCGAGGATGATGGACGGGTCCACCTCGCCTGCGGTAAAGTGATGGTCTCCTGGCATGTGAAAGTCGCCTGCGATTGTATCGCCCGGGTTCTCCTCATCGCCACGACTCGAAACACAACTGGGATGCTGCTATAGGGGACGGGGAGCCGGTGAACACGTCTTGGATATCCCCGAATCGATGATTGCGATACAATACAGCAAGAGCCAGCACAGCACGGTGTTCATCACCTCCCCATGCAAGAGATGGCACACGCAGGACAGAAACGAAAGCGGACGMCTCCCACCCCACACATTCCGCCGACACCACAAGCCAAACACCCCTACCTCGCCGGCAACTTCGCTCCCATCTCCCAGACATTGCCATTGACCAAATGCACGTGGACCGGTCACATACCCCAAGAACTGGCCGATGGCCAATACGTCCGCAATGGCAGCAATCCCGTGTCGAATGAGGATCTGGGCCGAGATGCGCACTGGTTTGATGGCGATGGCATGTTGTCCGGTGTCCTCTTCCGCCGCGACACAACATCGGGAGACATCACGCCGGAATTCGTCAATGCCTACGTACTGACCGATGTCCATCTCTCCGCCACCTCGTCCCCACGCTTGATTCGTCCCATCCTGCCGTCCATTGCCACGCTGGTCGATCCCTTGGCCAGCTTCATCTACGTCACGTGGAGAATTATTCGGACCATCTTGCTTGTCATCCTCTCCCATCTCCCCGGCTCCAAGCAGGCCATCAAGAAGATTTCCGTGGCCAACACCAACATCGTCTTCCACGATGGACGCGCCTTGGCGACGTGTGAGAGTGGTCCACCCATCCGCATTCAACTTCCCGGACTGGAGACGGTGGGATGGTACAATGGATCCACCGCCCAGAATGAGCCTCCTCAACCGCTTCCATCCGCAGAGGAATGTCGCTTCTTGGGTCAAGACAGCGGATTGATTGGGTTCATGCGCGAATGGACCACTGCGCACCCCAAAGTCGACCCCGTCACGCAAGAAATGCTCATGTTCCATTCCAGTTTCGCCCCGCCATATGTTCAATACAGCATCGTCCCGGCACAGCAAACTTCCTCCACCTCCCACCTCCCAAGGAGGAAGATGCTCAATGCTGCTGTCCCGGGTGTCACTTCCGCCAAGATGATGCACGACTTTGGGTGCTCCTCCACCCACACCGTCATCATGGATCTCCCCCTCTCCCTGGATCCTCTCAACACCTTCAAAGGAACGCCGACTGTCGCCTATGATCCATCGAAACCTTCGCGATTCGGCGTCTTTCCTCGCCACTCTCCTCAACAAGTCACATGGTACGAGACGGACGCCAGCATTGTCATGCATACAGCAAACACCTGGGATGAAGTCGACGAGACCACAAGACAAGTAACGGGTGTGAACATGCTCTGCTGTCGCCTCACCTCCGCAACTCTCGTCTTCGCGGCCGGAAACATCGCCGCTCCAGCGCCCATCCCGCGCAAACCTGCCGTCGTGGCGAAACGGAAGCGCATGTCCTTCTTCTCACCCTACAATGCCGCCGTGGAACCGACACACGTGGAGCGCCATGTCGATGAGAAGGAGCCTCTTCTCCATACTGTTGAGAACACCAATCTCGACGACGAAGAGGAGTTAATGGAGGAAGACCAATGTCGTCTCTATTACTTCCACTTCTCCCTCACCAACCCATCAACCATCATCTCTCAATACGCCCTAACCGCCATTCCCTTTGAATTTCCCTCGACCCATCCCGCCAAAAGTATGCAATCCGCAAGATACATCTACGGCTGCAGCACCACAACCTCTTCCGCTTTTGGCGCCGCTTTGGGAAAAGCCACCAAAATCGACGCCGTCGTCAAAGTTGATGCTGGAACATTGATTGAGCGAGGAAGACGTAATCCGCCGAAAAGTGTCTCGGGAGTCGTGGATTCCCGGCCGGTGGAAGACATTTCCGTCGGAGACGAAGTCATTGGCATGTTCAAACTCCCTCCAGGATGGTTCGCTCAGGAACCGAGATTTGTTCCGCGCGATGGTGGGCAAGGAGAGGACGACGGATGGYTGCTATTCTATGCTTTTGATGAGAGTCAGTTGGATGCGACAACGGGGGAAGTGGAGCGGGAGGAGGGCGTGCATTCGGAATTATGGATTCTGGATGCGAGGGATATGGATAGTGTGGTGGCGAGGGTGGTTTTGCCGCAGAGGGTTCCGTATGGCTTGCATGGGAGTTGGTTTCCGAAGGAGGAAATTGAGGGCCAGAGAGGGGTTGTGGAGTTTAGGAGGGAGATACAGGGGACGGAGGAGGGGAGAGGAGTTTGGGCTGCTGTTAGGAGGGGTTTGGAACGGGGTTTGGCGTAGGGGACTCATCTTGATTTTGGATTGGGAAGTGGCAAGGAGTAGTGGGACTCGTTGTTTCCTCGCRCGGTGGGTAATGATAATGAACGGATCAGAATATGAAATCCAGCTTGATGCCTTGTTGGCCTCAGCCAGCCCGGCATTTCTTCCGTACTCAGGTCCCAGAATTAGAGTAATGCCCGATGTCCGGCACGATACCTTCCTCTTTCATTCAAGCCTCGTGCACTTGCCACAACCGCCTCGTGCCGGCGATTTCGGCTATCGCTCGCGTGGTGGATCGGGAACATTTCATTGGAGGGAGCGCTTAGTCTATCATCCGGTCTGCCTCAGCGAAAGACCACTTTCCTGGGATCAATTCTACTACATTATTTCCCTTATCCTTCCCTATCTTTGACCTTTGTTTGACGTCCTCCATTAAGGTGGAAAGCTTGTCGCCGTTGGAAGCATAGCCAAGTCTGAAGATCTTCACGACAAGCATGCTGGCCAAGTTCTCCACAGCTGCCACGGCCCTGCTGGCAACATTAGCTTGGGGTTGCGAGGACCATGACTGGACCTCACCTCTTCTTGGGGGATATGTCAATCATGCCTTGATGAGTCGCCATGAGATCAACAGACGTATACAACCCGGTGCGGAACCAACTCTACCACAGCAAATCAAGGACATCCACTGGGGTCAGATCAACTTCTTGTCCACGACTGACACGCATGGATGGCTCGCTGGACATCTTCTAGATGAGAATTACAGTGCCGACTATGGTAAATTTGGATTTGAATTGCTTTGGAATCTTGGCTGATTCACATCAGGCGACTTTGCGGATTTCGTCCGCAAAATGAAGGCCAAAGCCGATGTACTTGGTGTCGACTTGATTCTTGTTGACAGCGGCGATCTCCACGATGGGACGGGTTTTGGAGATGCCACGACTCCGAACGGAAAATACACCATCCCAATCTTCAAGCAATTGCCATATGATCTGCTGTCCATTGGTAACCACGAGCTGTATACGGCGCCCATCGCCAATGATACCTATCATAACTTTGCCCCAAACTGGGGCGGACGCTACGTCACGAGCAACGTCGACTTTATCGATAATGGCGTTCAGAAACCATTCTCTGATCGGTACGCTTATTGGCAGACCAAGCAGGGAGTCCGAATCATGGCGTAAGTAACTTCCTGGGAATGGTTGACTCGACATCTTCGGCCATRCCATACCGTCCCCATGTTACTGACACTTTCGTGGCAGTTTCTCTTTCCTGTTTAACTTCACAGGAAATGTAAAAACTGTATCAGTTGTTACCCCAGTGGGTACAGCTGTCCAACAGTCATGGTTTGAAGAACAAGCTAGCCGTCAAGACATTGACATGTTTGTCGTGACGGGCCACATCACTCTCCGTGACTCTCCAGAGTGGAACTTGATCTACTCTGCGATCCGCCAACATCACCCTACCACGCCTATTCAGATCTTCGGTGGTCATCGCCACATTCGAGACGCCGTTGCATGGGATGCCACTGCCGTTGGTACCGCCGCTGGACGATACTGCGAGACTGTCGGCTGGACCAGTATCGACGGCCTAGGAAATGCCACGCGAGCCAAGTCTCCCATGGGTACTGGAACGATCAAGGTCACGAAAGCTTCCTCGATCCCCAACATCAACTTCACACAATCCGTCTCATCCGACCTCAGCTATACCCGTCAGTATCTGGACTTCAACCGGCCTACCTTTGAAAAGCATACCGCTTCATTGAAACAAGGATTCAACACATCATACGGCCAGGGAATCTCCAACCAGATCACATCGAACATCAGCAATCTTCCCGAACTCACCCAGACACTTGGCTGTGCTCCAGACTCCTACTACCAGACACGCTCTCCCGAGGGATCGCCCAACAATCTCTACACCTGGCTAACCACCGACGTATTCCCCTCCGTCGTTTACGCAAAAGGCCGAAACGACTCTTCCCACCCACGCATCATCATGACCAACACAGGAGGTTTCCGCTACGACATCCTCAAAGGACCCTTCACCCTCGACAACGCCTACCAATCCAACCCCTACCAGAATCTCTGGCAGTACATGACAGCTCCCTGGGGAGTCGCCAAAGACCTCCTGGCCAACATGCAATCCGACGCCGTCTACAAGAAGAACAAACGCGACACCAGCACCCAAAGCGTCTTCAACAACGACACCGGGCTCTGGAAAACTCCGGGCTACCTCACCACCGACGACTTTGGCCAAGATGGCGACAACACCATTCATTTCGACCAGGGATATTTCAGCAATGACCACTACGTCGCGGCGAATGTGTCGACGGGGGATATCGTGAGCGAGGATACGCTCGTGGATGTCTATGCCACCAACTTCTTCACTACTGCCGCTGCCAAGTATTTGCGGGGAAATGTTACGGATTGGGTGAATGTTACGAATTCTACGGGAGGGAGCTTTTCGAGTTTTGATACGGTGCCGCTTTATGCGAAGTTGTTTTGGGATAAGGATTGTTGATGGGTATTGTAGATTATTTGCCTAGATGTCCTTCGGTTGACGTGACCGTTCTTGGACTCCAAATAAGCTCTCCTTCAAATCTTWCCATCCCGGTTGTCGCAATCTCATGGTCGAATGGCCATCTGAAGAGCAATGCTGAACTGGACTGGTGACCATCATCCACTTCCCCGCTCAAACACCTTGACATTCCCATCCCGCTGCATGAGATACAAAAGCTCGCCTTCTTGAATCTCGACTTCGTCACCACAATCACCACCTCTCGTAGCTCGCAACACCCCGCTAACATCTGTCGCGGCGCCGGTATCAAGCCCACGTACACTCAACACCAATTGAGCTGCATGCGCTTGCGATGTGATGAATGCAGCCGTCTCGACTTCAATTGGAGTTGGAGCCGAGTCCGTAGAGCCCGGTACAGCAGCGGACAAAAACGGGGAGTCCGCCGAGAGAGATAGGATTGTATTCTGAACATGCTCCTGACTTCTGAGAGTTAGGAGGAATTTGCTCAAGGCTGCTGCGGTGGTGGTCGAAGTGGCTAATAGGATATCTGGGGAATCCAGTAGGAGTGTAATTTTCTTGAATCGACCTTCAGATTGTGGTGGCTTTGATAATCGAGATAGTGCAGCCAGTACACTCTTCTCTGCTTCTACAAGTGTGCATCCTGCATTATTGCTGAAGCAGTCTACAAAAGCAAATTTGCCGAGTTGAGATTGACGGGAAACGTCCAAGCCCTGTCGTTCATTAGCAATCATCACATCATGACAGACAAAGACTTTACATACTGTTCCCCTACGAATCTCATTTTTCCAAAACGCAGCATCCCGCATCCAGCTCACGAGGAGCACAGCCGCATCATCATCCGCTACTTCTTCATTTGTAGAATGTAAGACGCTGCCGACGTAGCGGGAAGCGAGAAATGTTGCTGTGAAGCCGAGTGTTCCAGTCAATAATGTGAGGGATATTTCTGGAGGGAGGTTCAGATATGGTTCCAGCGCTGGAGGCTGTGAGCGAGCTGCTGACATTGTTGATTGGTTGTTGAAAGGAAGTGTGTTTATTGGAGGAGTGAAAGTTAGTAGAGGCGCGATGAGGATGGAATTGGAAAAAAGGCTAAAAATTTCAAGCTTCATTTTGACCTCACTTCTTCGACTATATTGCCATTCTGTCCATCAAAAGCCATTTAGATCCCTCGCTTATATTCTCCCATCTCTGATATCATTGTCTCATAGTCTTTCGATAGGCATGCCCATGTGCTCTTGGCCAAGGCGATGTCTGCGTCGATCAAGCTTGGACGACGCGAGGCRGAGAGCTCACATGAGGAACACCGGCAATGGCTGATAAGTAAGCCTTTACACAAACAAGTGAAGTTTTCCGTTCTGAATACATCGTATTGTCTGCGGCAGCTTCCCAGGCGGGCTGAGGCTCTTCTGTCAAAGAAGGATCGATCCGTATTTTCTTTGTTATCCTTCGCAAACGTCCCAGATGCAGACATTCCATTGGTACATACATTGAAACCCCGAGAAATCTCACCAACCTTCACCGAAAGACCACGCAAAAAAGTCATGCCTTCAACTTACACAGCAAATCCAACCATTGCGGCCAACACCACGCATGCGTTTGTCCTGTAGGTATGCACATAACGATTGATGTTCGTCGCCAACTCTCCAAGCCCCTGCGACGATCGGGCACATCACCCACGACTTACTCCTGCTCCTCCCAGAGCAGCGCCCAATTGCTCATCGGTGTATTCCAACMCGCCTCATGATCATCATCTTTGGTACAATTGCTCGACAATTGCCTCGCCCCATCACGCAGCCGGCTACTCAATCTGCGGAAAATGTGACGACGATACGATCCGTGAACCCCTTATAGCGGACGCTGCTGCTGCCATGCGCTTGATAACACCAGAGAAACAGCCTCCTCGATGGGACTTGGCCGCGCTCCTTCGCAGGGACACTGGGTTTCTAACTCGCTTGTGCTCGCGCTGTGAGCATTGGGAGCAGAAGTTCTATTGGGAGCGCTGTAGTTGGTGGTTTGACTGGACTTCTATGATCTGCAGGCGTGACTTGCCCTGTGCCACCAATGCTACATCCTATGCGGTTGCGGCTCGTATGGGATGGCCGCAAAACGGTATTTACGCCTGGCTGTAGTCATTGCAAATTCCGAGCTCTGATACGTAAGATAGGATGTACTTGTATTCTGAACGTCAACAACAACGAACGGTCTCGAGCGGGTTACACACCTCCGCAGGATCGAAAGTGCATTCGCGACCAGATTGATGTCATCAACAACACGGTTCCAGCGCTAGTTGCGACAAGAGATGCCAACGACTTGTGGTTGCAGAGCGTTGCTTTGAATTCCAGTGGTAGGCTCTGTCGAGCTTCGCGCAAACGACTTCGGACACGGAGATCGATGAAGAATTCCACATTCAGAGCTTGTAGATGTGTAAGCAACGTCCGACCCATGGTACAAGCAATTGATACTGACTCGAGAATGAAGGGGGCAGAGGTCGATACCATGGGTAAAGAAGAAGTCCTGCTATGCATGGGTTGCGAGCGAGTCGTCTTTCAAAAGGTGCCGCGCCCATGTCTGTCTCCGCAGTGGGTGCCGCCTCCAGCGGACCTAAATGGATATCATCCAGATATCGTTGAAGATCCACCGAGAGGACCACCGGCTCCTGAATGGGCATGTCCGGCCAATCTACCCTCCTCGCGCTTCCGGCCTCCTTTCTTGGCAGAAGATAGTAATGTAGGTAAAAGAGCATCGAGATATCGAAGAAATGTACGTGTTGCCAATCCTGAGATCGATTTCGCGTTAGGCAGGCCATTCCTACCACACGAGGCCTAGTCGGCGGGCCGAAATGATTCGGAATGAGATAAGCAAGTGAATGACTGCAGATCTTATCATCCCGAAGACGATGCATCGTTTTATGCCCTGGACTTTCTCCTCCTATCGCATGTCGTTTAGTGGGAGCTCCACGAGCCATGGCGCATTCTCCGGCTTGTTGGATTCATTCATGATGGCGGCATTGACCATGAGAGTGCTCTTGCCCTTGACGATAGACGCCTGCTGGCATTCCAAATCAGTACCTGCTTGACTGAATGCGACCTGGCACATGCCATCGCCTTCCTTTCTGACCTCATCGTCCCATTTTTTCACTTCCGCTCCATAGCCTTCATGGATATGGCCAAAGCAATGCATGAKCGGTCTCGTCACTTCGATGACCTCTCTCAACTTCCTACATCCCAAATGCTGGTCGTGTGCGAAGTCCAGAATACCTTGTTGGGGTCCATGCGTCATTACAATGTCGGCGCTCGAGGGGATACTCCATCGGTCCTCATCACGCTTGTATCCGAACGCCCAATCGCCGCACTCCGGCTGATACGGTGAAACGAAAATCTTAAAGCTTGCGCCGCTTTGGAGTGTAAACACGTAAAGACCTTCTACAAGGTAGGTGACGTTAGCGGCCTGAGCCAGCGTTCCGGTCATGATTCCCACGGCTTCGTCGTGCTCTTCCGGCTCATCGTCATCTTCAAGGTGCGTACGCCAGTACTCGCCATCGAGGCTGATGTCATGATTACCTGCGATCACTAGTTTGAGCTCCGCGTCGAGTTTGCCGAGCATTTTGAGCGCCTTCTTGTAGGCAGAGGTTCCGCCCACTTGTGTGAGGTCGCCGCAGTGGAGCACAACATCTACCTTTGGCATCTCTTGGCACAGTGGATATTTCTCCGCGGCATCGTATTCGAAGTTGTGAGTGTCGGAGAGAACCAGGAATTTCGTTGGGACCACCATGACGTCGACTTTTGGTGTAATGCTTGATCTTGATATCTGATATTTGATGGCCGATAAGTCTCAATGCCGTTGCAGAGTTGAGTGTTAGAATTCGGTCAGGCGATCTGATAATTGGACGAATGAGAATAGGCAAGGACCATGACGGGGGGAGAGAAAGGGAAAGGCCGGGCAACACATGGATGTGGAATTCATACACAGAAAAGAAAGCGCGATGCAAAAATGCCACATGTCACACACCACTTTACTGGCAAGTCCTGGAATGGCAGAACCTTAGACCCAAGGTAGATGCAAACCTTCCAGAATCGTGGGAAGAGCGTACACTCTGTCCATCGGGTTGGTAGTCTCTTCATGTTACGCATGCACAGATGTCGCACCTTTCATGGACTTGAGTTTCTCACTAGCAACAGTTTTGTTCAGCAAGGAGTGGATTTCGTAGAACTTCGCCCATAGAAGTCTCGATGAACCACGAATAATTGGAGCAGCGGAGCTGAGATTCAATTCTTGTGCCGTCCAGGTCCCTTTGAGCCACGACAGCCCAGGCAAGTAGGTAGTCGTCGATCAGCGAGGCGTCTTCGATAAGTAAGGTGACATTTGCGTAGAGATGCGTATCCACGCAAGATCGTTGGAGCTCGAGGAATGAACTTTGCTGTACATTTGGTACGTTACACAACAGCTGCGGGCATTGATGGGCAGAGAATTCCAAGCCCACACGCCGTGAGATCGCTATGGGTCGTGAACCAAAGTGTGTGTTATATGATCATGATGTTCACCGAAACGTGCGCCCCTAGGCTTTGACGCCTCGGGGTCGGCACATTCTTGCTCATCGATGAAGAAGACGTAGGAAATGAGGTGCAAAGTCGGAGAAGACGTCCGAGGGCAGAGGAAACGGAAGCTTGCCGGCACTCGTCATAATCAAGCGACAACTACGCTTATTGACAGGTGGCCATTGTCGCAACAATAAACAGTTTTTGGGAGAGCCAGCTGTGTTGTCTTCTCGACCGTATTAATGTTCTTTGGGAGGATCATCCAATTCACTTGGCAGTGATGCTGACTGTCCCGTCCCGTCTCGTGCCTCCGATGTGACGTCGGCGTGTCCAGGACCCTCCGTCTCATCCGTCACTTTAAATCAAACACCGCGTCGCCCATCAACACGAACATTACAACCATTTGTTCGCCTACCAACACGTGCGTCCGAACCGGCAGCACAAGCCATGCACAATGAGAGCTTGCTATAATGGGCTTCCGGACGATCCTGTTCATCTACGTGTTCGGAGGGCTGACCTTTCTACCGCTCCTGGCCATCACTGCATGGTACTTGCTGCCCCGAGCTTCGATTGGAGGAAACGATGCAGATCTTGAGGAATCGGACAGCTTGAGAGGACAGGATGTGGGCTCTGCGAAATTGAAGAGTCAGGACAGAAGCCGGGACAACGCGGGAGATGYGGGTGCAAGCGGATCGTTCGCTGTTCTGAGGCGGTATGACCTGCAAGCCGCCCTCACAGCATTGGGGTCCAAGACAGCTACAAATCCAAATGGGACTACTGGTGACGGTGCAGATGGTGCAGGCGGAGAGTCTGTTTCGGTCTACCAGAGCATGTACAGAAGTGTCTTCACTGGCAACAAACAGAACAGCAGTGCCACCTCTTTACTGCAACACGACGAGACCGATGCTCCAGGCATTCGACGGAAACCTGCTCCGGCAAATGTGCTGTACATCGTCCTTCGCCATGGGCATTTAATGGTCTATGACTCGCCAGCACAGGTGGAGGTCAAACATGTCATCAGCCTGGCGAACCACTCTGTCTCGCTACAATCTGGTACCGTCGAAGACGAAGATCTGGACGAGAAAAAGATTCCAGAATCAGACTTATTCATCAAGCGGACAGCAGTGGTGCTTACACCCGTGGAGCTGCCAAGTGGCGCGTTACAGCCGGCAAGCACAGCACCACCAAAACCATTCTACCTCTTCTCTGCGACGAACATCGAGAAAGAGGCCTTCTACCACGCTCTTCTGGCAGCTCGCACAAATCCTCCCACTCCTAGGGCATTGGACACTGATGCTCTTATCAAACTCCAATCCATGCTCCACTCCTCTTCCATGACATCGGAAGCCCGTGCTCTGAATGCAATCATCGGCCGTGTGTTCCTTGCGATCCATCGTACTGATGCCATCAATGACTTTATCCGCTTCAAGATTGAGAAGAAAATTGCGCGAATACAAAAGCCGACATTCATTCCCTCGCTCCGCATTCAATCGCTCAACCTCGGCGACGCAGGACCTGTGCTTTCCAACTTCAAGATGCGTGATCTGAACATCACGGGTGATATGACTATCAGTGCCGACATGAAGTACACGGGCGGTCTTTCAATCACGTTCCTCGCAGTGGCAAGGCTCGATCTTGGGCCGCGCTTTAAAGTCAGAACTGTTGACTTGGTACTGAAGACTACAATCAAGCGCATAAGTGGCAATATGCTGCTTCAAATCAAGCCACCGCCGTCGAATCGGATGTGGTTCTGCTTTGAAAGCGTCCCAGAGATGGAGATTCGAGTCGAACCCGTGGTCAGTGAGCGGAAGATTACCTATGGATTCGTGCTGCGAGCAATCGAGGAGAGAGTGCGCACAGCCATCGCGGAAGGTCTCGTGCGACCTAATTGGGACGACATCCCCTTTCCATTCACAGATACTCGTGGCAGTCATGCTCGTGGTGGATTATGGCGGCACGATGGAGAACCAGACGATGCTCAAGCCATGGGTGTTGCGGAAAAAGAAGTGCAAGAATCTGAGATTCAACCTGGTGTGGAAGCAGCTGTATCTACTGGCGTCTCCTCCGGTGCGATATCTGTGGACGAGGGTCAGGTCAGGCGTCGTACAATGGAGTCAACAGAACAAGGGAACGAGCCAGGAACCAGCCCGGAGAAGCCTCAGCAGTCTTCTAGCTCTCCAAGATTGCTTAGGTCTACCTCGATTTCTTCGTCGATTCCTAGTGTGGCCGTTGATGGGCAGAACGTAGAACCCRTGCGCAACGACGACGCATCTTTGCGTGCGACTCCCACACCAAACAGGAAACTGTGGCGAACACGTGGAACGCCAAGTTCGCAGCAGCAACCCAGAGATGCTCTAGAAGAGCTTCGAGATCTTCGCGATCGTGCGGAGAAGAATACGGTATCGTCCACGCGGAACGGGAGTGYCTCTGAGATTCCTGATCCCGAACATGACGCGCCTTCCACTCCTGCAGAAACGGCAACCGGAAGCACCGTGGAAAGCCGACGGCCATCAGACGACTCTGCATCATCTCCTGCGGCTCGTACATTCTCGATTCAGAGCGCGGACTCGGAGCGATCAGCTACAAGCTCACTCTCGTCATCCCAGAGTGGTCAAAGCCAATCGAAGAAAGCAAATGTCCTTGCCGCGACCGTCGCTGCCACCAACGCAGCACGCAACTGGGGTTGGAATACACTCCAGCGCAACAAGACCGTGTTTCCTCGTGTGAATTCCAAGCAGGAAACTACAACTCCTGCCGCGGACCAGCCCATGGGTCGAGGACAGCCTCTCCCACCGCCGGGAGTACCTCTCCCCGGACCACAGCAGAAGACGTTGTGGGGAAACATGAAACGGAAGCCAGTGCCAAACTTACCGCCAAGGCCGCAGGCAGCTGGGGTTGCGGAGCGGCTCAAAGCAGATCAGATACCTCGTGAAAGCGAAGAATTTGAGCCATGGCAGGAAAACAGTGGGCCGGTGGAAGGCCAAGCCTTCGCCGCGACGTCAGATGACACGAGTGGAGTTCGAGCTTCGACTTCCCATTCATCAGCAACAACGCCTTCTTCTAAAAACGAGCTTCAAGTGCCAACACCACAAAAAGATAAACCCGACTTGGCTCGCAAAGCTAGCTGGGAAGGGAGCAAGATCCCGGTCAAGGCAGGAAAGACACCTCCGGCTCTGCCACGTAGGCCATCGCCAGTCCAGAGGCACTCTCCCCGATCATCGACACCTTCCATCATTAGCAATGCGGATACTGATAGCGTTCTTAAAGTGCCCGAGAGCGCGGCAGATGCTGTTGCGGCTGAGAATTCTACGACTGATCTCGCTCGAGGCGCTACGGAAGTGCTGAACGTTGTGGATGCAACCGAAGGTGTTGAGGCGAGCCTCTCACCTGACGATGCGAGTGATTCCAGGCGTCTTTCGGGATACTCTGCCCATCGACTGGATGATAAGAGTAGTCTCAGACGATCATCGAAATCTCCCAGCATGAACGGCGGAATGCATGAGAGTCTGGCTGATGTCACGGATAACTTTGCCATGGACGAAGATATCAACGAAGCGGACTTTGACCGAGATACAAAGCCTGCACTAATAGCAGCTGAGAGTTCAAGTCGAAATGGCGCAGACACGGCAGTCAAGCCAGCCGAAGACAAATCGGACTCATCGACGTCCAAGATGCAAAGCGAAGAGGAGATAATGGCCGAGCGAGTGCGGGCTCGAACACAGTACCACACGCTTGGGAGCGGCAGTCCAGCCAGCAGAAAGTAGATTCGCAAATACTAGCTAATCAATAGACGTATCACTCAAATACCTCTCTGGCGGGCTAGATCATGTGCTGATGACAAGGTTGGAACGGCAAGTGGAAGAATAATCGATGATGTCTGGTATGCGTAGGCGTAGGCGTCTAGCCAGCAGCAAGATACCTTGGTCCCACCCTGCGTCTTCTTATCGGCACCTCAACCTGTTAGAATAATGCTACCCGCCTCGTCTAGCTGCGTGTGCAGACAGCTCTAAAATGTGCCGCACACGCACGCGCACACACATGTTTCTGTAGGCCCGTGGCGGTGAGACAACCCATTCATTCGCAGGCGCGCTCAACGTCACCATACAGCGTCGAGCGAATCAATCAGTGACTTGTGCACGTTCGTCTCATAGCTCCCAGGCTCCATCTCTCCGTAGGGGGCACTGGTTGTTCTTCGGGCCGTGTGAGCCTCTCCGGCACGTGCAAGGGTTGAATCCACGGCTCATCCGAGTAGATCTAGAGGCTGGAGAGATTATTGTGTGGGAGTGTGGGGACCACATCCCACAGGAAGCAAGCCCGAAGATCATGAAACCGCGCCGGGAATCCGTCGCGATGATGCCGCCGCCCGCTTGTTCCCCGAATGACATCCTTTGCACCTAACTTATCTTCGCGCGTCTTTTTGTTTTGGGGGGGGGATCCCGTACATTGCATCCCTGTACCGACGATGGTGCGCGTCTGCATCTGCGAGGTGTAAAAAAATAAAAGATAATAATGCGCCGCCACCGCCTCTGGTTCCCCGGACGCGGTTGCTATCATTCACTCCCCCCTCCATCCGATGTCTTGCAGGATTCACCTTTCACGCGCATGACCTCGTATCTACAAAAGGGTGGACCACGCGCTGCCACATGCCTGTTTGATGTGTTGAACGGGGTTTTGCTTGTCTTACTTGGCGGTTTGGTTTTTGATCTTGTGTTGTTGGGCATATACGGACGGGCCTGTGCGAGCATTCTTCCTTATTCCTTCTTGACGGCTGCCTTGTGTTAGAACGATAGAAGATATATATACAGCATGGCTACAGAGGAGAAGGTTGTTGGGGATTCCGTCGTGTCTCCTCCTACTCCTCCTGTGGATGATGGAGCGGGAAAGAGACGTCTTGGTTGGAAGCAGATGAATGGGAATGGTAGGAAGAGTGGTACTCCCAGCGAGAAAGATTCGGGGGTTGAGGAAGGGTTGGAGAAGAGGCCTCCGAGGTGGAATATGGGCATACTCAATGATCGCCAAACTGAAGAGGTATATATTCACTTGGCGGGAGGGAAGAGTGACAGCAACTGACATGACTTCTCTGCTAGGTCCCCGGCTCCATTCTGCTGCTCTCCAAGGTCTCCGAATACAACGAACCTCTGGGTATGCGTAATGCACCCGGTCGTACCTCCGCCTCCTCCTTCGCATACCCCTACTCTCAATCTCGATCGAGCTCACGGAGTCGGAGCAGAAACCCACCAAAACCAGTTAAAGAGGAGAAGAAGCTCACCGCAGACGGGAAGATCGTCTTGGAACCACAGCCAGATGACAGTCTGAACGATCCACTCAACTGGAAGGTCTGGCGTCGAGATGTCGCGTTGCTGTCTCTTGGCTTCTACTGCATGGTGGGCGGTGGTATGACCCCCATCTTAGCGGCTGGCTTCGATGATATTGCAGAGGAATATGACATCTCTGWGCCACGCGTGGCTCTTACAACCGGACTATACATGATGGGTCTTGGGCTGGGAAGCGTGGTGCTGAGTCCCACTGCCATTCTCTTTGGCAAGAGACCTGTCTACCTGGTTGCGGCTTTCTGCTTCATTCTGTCGTCGGTCTGGTGTGCATTGTCTCCCAACTTTGCCAGTCTGGTGGTGGCCAGAATCTTCCAAGGATTCGCTGTCAGTTCTGTGGAATGTCTTCCATCTGCTACGGTTGCAGAGATCTACTTTTTGCATGAAAAGGCATACAGATTGGGTATCTATACCTTGCTGCTGCTTGGTGGGAAGAACTTGGTCCCTCTGGTTTCAGCCGCTGTTATCCAGAGTCTTGGTTGGCGATGGTAAGTTCTCCTGGTATATACATTAGGAAAACATACTGATGACACTCGTAGGGTATTCTGGGTTGTTGCCATAGTCGTTGGATTTGGATTCGTCCTGTTGTTCTTCTTCGTGCCAGAGACCTTCTGGGACCGAACTCCCGTTCGATACAACCCAAAGCGCCCCCGTTCCAGTCGCCTGGGACAGGTCTGGAAGTCGATCTCCGGACCCTCAAGCCCGGTTGTAGAAAGGAAGCCAGTTCCCAGCTCGGCCGAGAACCCGACTGACGAAACCATCACCGCGAACCCAAAAAGTGCTGGCAAACACATTCATTTCCAAGCAGACACTCCAGAGGATGAAAAGGACGACAACGACAACGACTCCGATCGTACTGACGACGCTGATGCGATCAAACCAACACCGGTGGAAGAAGCACTCAAGGAAGAGCCCGTCCACGTTGAGAACAAACCCGCAGGCTACTTCGGCATCGAGGCCAACTCTTCAGCGCTGGAAGCCCAAATGCCTGAAATGCTCCCCATCTCAAGAGTACCCACTGACCTCAGCGATCACTCCCATCATTACGACCCACGAAATGCATACACCAAAGACCGCATAGCACTTCCCCCGAAAAGCTTTGTACAGCAGCTCCGTCCATGGTCCGGCCGGCTTCGAGATGACAGTTGGATCCGCGTTGCAATCCGACCCTTCATTCTCTTCGCATATCCCAGCATTCTTTGGAGTTCCTTGGTGTATGCCTTATCCATCGGCTGGCTCATCGTCCTCTCCGAATCCGTCTCTCACATTTACATTTCCAGGGAAACCTACAACTTCACCCCTCTCCAAGCCGGACTGGTCTACATTTCGCCCTTTGTAGGCGGTATCCTCGGCACAGCCGTCGCCGGAAAGGTCTCCGATCTCATCGTCCGGTATCTCTCCCGTCGCAACGGCGGCGTCTACGAGCCAGAATTCCGCCTCATCATGGCCATCCCAATCACAATCTCCACGACAATCGGATTAATGGGCTACGGCTGGTCAGCACAAGAACGCAACGCCTGGATCGTTCCGACCGTGTTCTTCGGAGTCATATCTTTCGGTTGCTCATTGGGAAGCACCACAGCGATTACCTTTGCCGTGGATAGCTATCGACAATACGCCGGCGAGGCGCTCGTCACGTTGAATTTCTCCAAGAACATTCTGCATGGATTGGTGTTTAGTTTGTTTTTCAATCATTGGTTGGAAGCCGAGGGGAGTAAAGATGTGTTTATTGCTATTGGAGGTATTCAGTTGGGGTTCATGTTGACGACGATTCCGATGTATATCTATGGGAAGAGGGCGAGGATGTGGACTGTGAGGATGAATCTTATGGAGAAGTTTTGAAGTAGGGATGATGATGATGATTTTGATGATTGATGGTGTTGGAGTTTTTGGGGGGCAAGGGATGTTGACGTGGTGTTGTTATTGTGCGAGGGTGTTGTGGTAATGGATGCTTTACGTATGTATGTCATTGAGCATTATTATGATGAAATTTCGCATGTTTTCTTTCGGCCATGAAAGTAGTAAAGAATCATCTCATCGTCGCGATCTACGCTTTCCTAGTAATACATTGCCCGACCACGCTAAAAGATCATATCCTACACTCTTCCTTCACTCTCCAACAACAACTCAAACCATCAACCCGTCTTATTCCAATCCGTCCTCTCAATAGGCGACTCGGGCGACTCACGCGCCGCCTGCAAATCCCTCAACGCCTTCTCCTGCTTCGACACCCGATCATTATTCCTATCATATTCAATATCCTCCGTAGGCCGATCAATRACTTTCACTTCATGCATCCTTCCATCGCGATCACGGTAGGTGAAATCCGTCGCAGTGGCCTGTCGGGGAGCGTGATGTACCATTTCCAAGGTATCCGAGTCTCCGGATTTCTGGGTGATGGTGGTGGGGGCGCTGCGGTCTCCGCTGTCGAAACGGGTGGTGGAGTCGTCGAAATCGGAGACTTGGCGGAGATGCATCATGCCTTCGTGGCCGACTGCTCGTTCGGGGTCTGTTTTGGATGTTAGTTTTTGGAAGGGCTAGTAGGTAAGGTTTTGGGGGTGGAGACGAACCGATTTGAGAGGGGTGAGCTGGTGCTTTACACTCGCCGGGCTCGATGCTGATGGAGTTACCCGATAGCGCGGCCCATGCGCGTTGGAGGAGTCCGGCCATCTGGTTAATTATGTCAGTGGATTTGTCGATAATACACGCGAGGGCGACAGGCGACTCACAGCAGGCATGCAAGTGCAGATCACGCTGAAGTTCGCTTCGATCGAACTCCACTGTACGACAGAGTTGTAATCCCACGTTGGGTTGGCGCTTCTACCAATCTTTACGAGGTATTGGAGTCGAATCTGTGGACAACCCGTCAGCAGGAATCGAGAAGCCTTAAGAATGAGTAACCACTTACAACAGCACAAATCGTAACCAACAATCCCACCATGAAGATCGTCAACACCCCCGTCTTTCTCCTCCAAGAGATATTCAACTTCAAAAAGTTGTGTAGTGGTAGCACAAAGACGATGACATCGTAGCAGATGTTGATCGCACCGAGTGAATACAGCTGTCCCTGGCGATTGACACAGGTTCCCTTGTGCAGACCGTCCCAAGCGGTCCAGGCGTAGGCGACAGGAGTACACTGAAAGACCAAACTTATGCAATAAGCAAATAGAGTAACAACGTGAACCCAGATCAGTATCCAGCAAGTTCGACGGAACCAGACTCCCACAGCAGCTTCTCGCCAGATTCGGAGGTAGAGTTGCAGGATGCTGATTCTCGTGACCATTACCAGGGCACAGTAAAGGATTGTGAAGACGAAGAATTGCTTCGGAATGTCATCAGTACCTCGTCTTGTAAGGGAGTAACACATTACTCACCTGCAGCATAGACGTAATCCTCAGAGCAGGAACCTGATAAGCATCCGTTCCAAGCCCGTTATCCGTCATGGTCTGAACCAGAACATTGATAGGAATCAACAACACAAGACAATGCAGAATCGTCCAGTCGTCTGTTCCATATCCACTACCATTCAATCGTTCCGGTCTAGCCAAGAATCGTGCGCCCACGAAAATCAGCGCAAAAGCAAATAATCCCCAGGTAAGGCCCCTCGTGATTGGGGCCACATCGCGGCTCACGGCTCCACAGGTGTCTTTGGAGAACTTTTGTGCGATGAGGCCGTCTGGTATCGTACAATTTGAGGTGAAACAAGCGGAGAGTGATGTGGTGAGATTTGCGTTCGGGCAAATGCAGGATATGTCATCGGGGGAGCAGCTGTATTCTGGAAGGACTTGAACGAAACAAAGGCCCTAGCGCGATGTTCAGTATTCGCTGTTTCTTCTGTTTTCGATAGCTGATGCTTACTGCACAATTCGGTAGCGGAAGATCAGTCTGATTCTGGATCTGCTGTAAAGCGGTGGCTGTAGTTTCGTTGCCGGGAGAAAAGAGATTGGCGGAAGCGACGCTCAGTCCAGCGACCAATAGAGCTGCCAGAACTCTCATCTTGATTGTGAACAAGACTCAGTCTTAGTGGTTAGTTGTTGAAGGCGATGTGAGAAGGGAAGAAATGAATACAGCGTGAAGCCGAGTGCGCTTCAGGCCGAGATAGTATCACTGCAACCTCACTCGTCACATTGCTACCACAACTCATGTCCCTAAGCCAATCGAAAACCATATAATCTGGAAGTCATAGAACTGTGGTTGTTCTCCGAGCTTGGCGCAGAATCCCAGTCTATATGACGCCTTTTAAAGTCTACTGGTGGACTAGGGCACCGCTGCGAGTCATTGTCTTAGAATTGCGCCTTCTGCGCGGGACCATACGATGCGATGGCGGTTCCCGTATAAGAATCATGGTCCCATACAGCGATACTAGCGCACGCTGGCCCTGTTTGCCTTGTTTGACATGTGCGGTTCGGGCGAACCTTCGAATCGTGGCGCCTCCAGATCCCGGTCCGTGATGATGCAATCAATGCTAGCAACTACTCATCCAAAACTTGTAGATTCTGATGTTCCTTGCTGCAAAGCGTTCCGACGCTTACAGTCTGTGGTTTGTCTACGTTGACACCCCTTTGCAGGTGTCGCAAGGCAGCGCGATGAGTTATTTCAATCGTGTTAGATCTCCTCAAAGGGAGATCTAAACTCCGCAGCTTTAGCTGTCGAAGTTCGAGCCACCGATGCACAAGGCTCATCGGACACACAAAAGTCGTTCCCGACTCACCAAGCTTTGTCATGTCGGTGCTTGGCAGGCACTTCTTCGACTGATGTAGGATCGRACTCAGATCCGAGTGACCACATGAGTGAACCTTCGGCGTTGCTGTTCTGTCGAATCTGAATGACGCTACGGCCGTCGCCATCTGACTCAAGAGTGATATGATGTTCTATGAGCTATGTCATGTTCCACCTGGAGGCCTCGAGTTTCGCTATGGCGAATGAAGCCACCTCGGTGATGCGCTGAGCGGTCATCGCGAACGTTGTTCATGGGCATGGCAAGAGACCTTCGCAGAGCATGAGTGTCGAGTTGTGGTATGCAACCAGCTTCATTCGATGCCGCCAAGCGCAAGTGAATCCTCCGACCTCGCGGAAGGGTATGTCCGTCCAGCCGCTGCAAGTCCATCGCAATGCGCCATCTCATGCGGGAATGCTGCCACGCATGGACCAATTGCGTCTTCGATGTGTGTCGGAGGTTTGCGCGAGTCGTGGACCGCGGGCGATGGATGGACCATGCTGTACGGCGGGAGAGTGACTCTACATGTGTTCCTCACTGCTCAGTTGCAGCCATCTGCTCCACAGTCAACTTTGCGATCTCTCTCATCATTTGCAAGTCTTCCTTGCCCTCCCGGCCAGCTTTGAGTAAATCTCGCCACTGGACCAACCGTGACGCCATTTCGGCATCACCAACAGCTTCATACTGCTTGATCATGCGAGAAGTGTCCTTCCCAGAACTCATGTACAACCCTCCGCTTCTTTGCGCGAGGAGCACCCATATTAAATTCTGAAGGCAGTCCGACCCTCGCGTCATTTGCTTCATAGACTTCACACTCTGCTGTAGACTCCGAATCTGCGTCGTCTTCAAGGCATCGCTACTAGCAGCCGCAATCTTCATCTTTCTTGAGAACTTTGCGATGCTGGTCTGCAGAGCGGCAAATGCTTTTGCATCGACAGTGGCTTGCCGTAGCTTTTCGATCTCCCTGTTACTGGACTTCTCCTGCAACAGCCTCAGATCGGCCGCACTTTTGATTGTTTGGGGAATAACCTCTCGGCGAAAGTGGTCGTACGAAAACTCTTCCAAATGCTGTCTCAGGGTTGCATCCACAATCGTGCTGATGCCACTAGCGTAGAGCTGGAATGGCGCGAGGAGTCTTGCTTCCAAAAGCTGCACAAGCTTGATGTGATCACCCTGCTGAAGCTCGTCGAGTCGCCGAACGACAGCGTCTTCCAGCTCTGTAACGCACTCACTGCGAAGAATCAAATGTGCGAGACCTGGTCTTGGAGATACTGACGCGCCGCGCAGATTTTGAATAGTCGTCGTAGAGCTCGGACGATCGCCTTCTTTTGACCAATCGTCTTCCACGCGAGCAATGGCAGCAGCTTTGAGTCTTCCCAGCTCGTGCTGCAACACTCCAGCGTCTACCAGCAATCGAGATTGGGAGTCATGTTTAGGTTTGAACGTCTGTCTTCCGGAGTCTGGTAAGAGTGTGATGGTGCATAGTTGAGTACCCTCGTGATGCCAATCTTCGAACTTTGCTCTGACAGCTTGTTCTAGTTCGTCGATGTTCAACGTGGCACCAGTCGATGGTGTGTTTGCGCCGGACTCGCGAAGCTGAATGATAGAGAAACGGTTGTCTTCCAACTCAGTTGCCATGAGATGAACCCGGTCAAGCTGGGACTGTCGATATCGATCCTCGGCAGCGGCAGAGTACTCGCTGGGTACGTAGATCACTTGAACTCCATCAAGGATGACATCTCCCCCTTGGCCTTTGGTGATCAGATCGACGAGCAACTGCAAGATGGGAGTCTGGACTTCATCATCGAAATTTGCAGACACATTGCACACGTCTGTTCCCGCTGCATTGATCGCCTCCCGGATGCGCGTCTCAATGTTCTGCTTCAAAGACTGGTTGCAGAGAAAGCGCTTCTCTTCGATACTGAAAGTCTGCCACTTCGATCCGGAGTCAAACTTGATCCATCGCTCAATTGAACGGGGTGCAATGTCTTGACTGGCGGCGAAAGCGCCGAGGTCGACAAACGATGTCCTTGCCAGATCTGCAAGTTCTTCATGGATGGCGTCTGCAACAGGAACGGGGATCAGGTACCTGCCGTCCTTGCTGAAATACAGCAGCAACGAACATTGGTCCAATATATGTTGCTCGGCTTCCTTTTCAATGCCAAGAAGGGAGGAAATCTCAGAAATCTCGATCCGGGAGCTTCCTTGCTCCAAGACCGACTCGAATTGTGACAGAGCAGTCGTGAAGTCTACCAATGCGTTGCCGGAGAGGYTCCTCACCAGCGAAGGTCTACTACCCTTGTCCAATGACAGTGGCGGGAAGTGCCGGATCAGTGCTTCGACATCCTCCTCGATAAAGATTGGCGCCATCGCAGTGAATGAAAGCTTCAATGAGGAACATGAGAGCACTTCAGCGCGTCCGATGTGGAGACTTGATTGAAATGTAGATAATGTTGTTGATGAAGTTGTAAAGTATTCGATAATGTGAAAGATGTCAAGTCAAAGTCTCCCAAGCAAATGACGGGAGCATCCTCAATGCTTAAACTGTAAATCGTTAGTCAGCCATATCTCGATCTCCAGTCGACGACAGCACCTCGATGCGCCAATACATTGCCGTCCACCTCGACGCATCACCGTCATGTCTCAATTTCGCTCCAAGGTGCTGGATCTCTCCTGCTTCATAAACAACAAAATCATCCGCGATCATACCAAGCGAAAGGTTTTTGAGCAGCATGAACCCGAGCGCCAGGCTCTCCGCTACATCATCCGCAACACATCTCTCCCTCAGCGAACACGAGCGCAGGCGCAGCTACAACTCACCCAAATGCATTGCTACACGCGCTCCACCCAGATCAAGAATCGATGTATGATGGGTGGTAAGGGTAGGGGTATCTTCCAGGACTTCAGAATGGCCAGAGTGAGTTTGAGGGAATGGTGACGGAATGGAGTCATTATTAACCAATGGGTAGTATCAATTCAGAATGAACGCGCTGGCAGGACGTCTACCGGGAGTGAAGAAGGCGAGTTGGTGAAGAGATATATGGTGGAGACGGAAGGTGTATGATATATGCGACTGTACAGAAGATGTAGCAGTATGGTTGGATCTGGAGTCGTTGCGCAGGTGAGAGCGGGTCAGCACGGAAGGCACAAGACCCCTCCGCATCACAAAATGCGGCTTCGGTGCCAAGGGGCGAGAGAAGCGGACGCATAGTCTATACGTAGGTCGGGTGGTGGCATCGAAAGAGCTGGATGCCAAAGAGCTGGATGCCACCACGCTGGATCAAAAGAAGATATAGTGCATGCAAACTTGGGGCAGGTACGCTACCGCTCTTTCCTCACTTGGGCTCACTCAGAATTCGAGCACCAGGCAGCACTGCTCCTTCACTTCCTCACTTCCTCGCTTCCTCACTTTCCTTGGCGCTCGATATACGTCTCGCCTTCTACCCTTCTGCCCCCAGCTCCTCAGGCTCACTCGTCCAGTTCACACTCAACAACATTTCATCATCTAATCATCACCCCTCTCTACTGACATATCCTCAGCAGTCGTGCTAATAATGATGCGTCGCAAGACTGCCAAATCCAGCGTGACCCAGAGCGACAGCGTCCAGGTGGGCAAATACATCCAGCACGGAAGCGAAAGCGCCAGCRCAGAGCGAACGTCAGTCGTCTCATCCGCTAGATAATCSCCCACTGAGCTAACCTCGCTCTAGACTGCTTCCACCGTGCATGGTCACGTTCGTGTTTCCAAGCACCTCCGAGTCCATCACTACAGACGTCGCCGGCAGTCGTCAGAGATCGTGGTTTATTAATGAATGCATCGAGCAGGACTGGTTTGATGCTTGCGGCCGGCGAATCTACCTGCTTGACATCACCCCTGCCGAGTTCGAGAAGTACACGGTGCGTTTCGAAAGGTGGTGGCACACGCTGCATGCGCTAACACGTCCATACGCAGTCGTGGGTACAGTTTGGAACCATTTCCACGAGAAATCTCAAAGCGCCACCCCCAGACTCATCGGCGGAAACCGTGGCATACCTCAGACAGCACGAGCAATGCCTTGTCATCGACCGTCTCGTCCACTGGTGGGTTATCGGCGACGCAATGCAAGACGATGGCCTGAAAGCCGCGTCGATGGCCATGCTCAACAAGTATTCTCAAGAGAGATACGAGCTCCCTATTGTATGTGCGGCGATGCGGCAGAACCGGCAGCTATCCGGCTTTGGGGATGCTCATGCTAATTGACCGCAGCAAAGCTTCGAACACGGATGGGCGAGATCCAGAGACGGCTCCGAGCTGCGTCGATGGATCTTCAACATGTTGAAGCAAACCCTGACGCTGCCTATCCTCAAGGAGCGAGCGGAACATATGCCTCCGGATATGATTCGCCAGCTGTTCATCTCCTTCATGGAAGCTAAGAACAACGACATGACGCTAATTTCTCCGAAAGCCAGTGGCTGCGACGAAGCTTCTTCTTGAAGAAGTCGTGGGAATATGTCGTCAAATTGCCATTTGAATTTACGTGTGGTATCTGTGATATCAGCGAGGCGGAGAGCACTTTCCTGGCTCATCCGGGTATGACCCTTTTATGCATCTTGTATCATATGATCAGGCACCTTCACTAACATGGATACAGATATAATCGTGGCGCGACGCGGAGAGCGGTCGTCGTCTAATCTTAATATGGTTTTGGACCAATCAGTGGTATCTGCATTCCTGATCTTGGGTTTCCCCACGGGTCTCTCACACTGGACATGCTGCGGCTGTATTACTCATTGCTTTTGGCCTCTGCCGATAGCTGCGAGACCACGAGAGAGTCAGAGAATCCATCATGTCTCGGTTACCTCATTTCTGGTCCCTGGAATACACTTTCTCGAGAAATGTCACCTACATTACTGAGCTTCCTGACTCCCGTGAATAAGATATCCGCGCCTGTATTATTGATTGCTTGGGTCGCTCAGCAGCGACAACCATGGTTCATGAAGCAAGGCAATTAGACCCACACTCGGTTGGTCCTGACAGCTTCAAAGTTGCTGCTTTTTTCTTACTCTGACTACGCCGCTTTCCACTCTAGATGCGAAGTTCCACCACCAACGCAAGCATCATCGCGATCAAACTCACCATGGACCGATCCTCAAAAAGCAGACTCCTCGAACTTCCTCGAGAGCTTCGCTTTATGATATATTATGAATACATCAACACTCAAAATGTGGTCCTTGAAGGCTGTGGCTATGTACACTCATGTCGCACTTTCGAGCCAAAAGACCGCTGCTGTTCATGCCGCACGAAGATCTGCCCACATCATGGTCGTCGCGGCGATCAAAACGGCAGTCGGTGTGAGACCTCCACAAAGATATGCATGCCCAAGTCTATGGGACTGGTAGCAACGAATCGACAAATCCGGAAAGACTTCTCTCCGTTATATGCTTATGCTAGAGATCTCACCATCGAGATTTCTCACCTCACGGAACTCGTACACAACACCATCACTAGCTCGGAGCGGGATGTACTCCTTCGAAACGCAACGCGCATTCATGTTATAGTGGATGTTGAGAAAGTACTTTCCGGTCCGCCCCATGTTATTGAAACTCTCCTGGCGACATGTGCCACACAGCCAGGGCAGGATGGCTCATCATCAACAAATCTCGCAATCTCCTACTGGATCCGTCCATGGGATGGAAAGTTTAGCAGATATGTGCGGTATTCCCTCCCGATATATGCCGGTTGGAACCTCGTCCGCCGACCCAAACATCTTCTGCTTTTAGGTTCTCCTGAAAACCCGGATGATGATTCTAATCATGAGCTTCTGAAATTCGGTGCCAATGTCCWCCAGACGATTCTTGCTCCATGCGACGGTTGTATCGCATGCACTATCGCTGAGCAACTGGAGGACGTCGTTCGTTTCAATCGGGAAGAGCCACTTGAGAACATATTCCAAGAGTGTCATCTACCATGCCATATTACAATTTCTCTTGATCATCATCATAACATGGCTGCGCCTCAATTCCCGAGCCTGAGGATCTTGCTTCCTTTTGGTTTCCTTGCTGAAATAAAACTTGGACTTTCCGTCAAATGGCTGCGGGGCTGAGACTTGTTGAGGACTTTCATTCACGCGGAGTCACCGGCTACCAAATGGCCGTGGATATCCGCAGACTTTCTTCTCTATATAAACCTCGCACCTCCCATCCGACACAACCCCGTCATCTGAATTAACAACCATCATGGACACTTTCCGGAGAATCATCCCCTCGCAATGGCTCGCCCCACTGAACCCACCTCCATTCCGCTTACTTGACTTACCCACCGAGCTAAGGTACATGGTGTATGCTGAAGGTGAATCCCATTTGATGCTCCTGGATATTCGCTCTTTGGCTAATGACCACATTCACAGTCATCAAATCTCAAGCAACGCTCCGAAAAGGCTACACTCGCCCACGCAGCATTGATGACTCGTCCGCAGTTCCGGACGCCACGACACCCTGCTATATCATCGACCGTAGCGCTCTATCGCTAGTCAACCGAAAAATTCGGGGCGAGTTTCTCCATGCTCTCCAATTCACTCTACCCGAAGAGATCCGCGTTGACATTCGAGATGCCGAATTCTCACCTCTCAAGCAATTCGATATCCGCGCCAGATACTGGCGGAAGTATCTCGAAAACGGAACGCGTATCAAGGCAGTCCTACATTACGATCCAAACGCGATCAGCATAGCATTCTTTTGGGGATYTGAAGGAGCGGAATTCATCACACGATATCACAGGCTGACTGACAGAATAAAAATTTCCTACGAAGTCGCCGTCCGCAAGCCGACCTTCTTCCAGCACATGGTTGGAATTTCTCAGGCAATTCAGGACCTCCGGAGACTTTGTGGCAAAATTTTCGGCCTCTCACAACCTGCTCGTGGAGATGTCGTCTTTTCGTTTATGGAGCTCTCGATGTGCCTCCGGGATTTCCGCCAAGGATACAATTGGAATGCTCGAGCTCACACACCCGATATGCGCGGAGAGATGTACGCGCTTGTTGAAGCCGCCATAGAGAAAGCCGACAGGAGGAGAGTCATTTCAGCAATAATCGAAGTCTTGGTTTCGATCACTTTAGTGCAGCTATTTTGCATACTTTTGGATGGGATTTTTCTGTTATCTTTCAAGTAAATAGATTTTTGGAAATCGTAAATATCACCAGTTACCCCCTACTTTCATCATTGCATAGCTTCCATTCCAGGCATCAAATAGACCTGTTCCCCCCTCAATACAAGCCGTACGTCCAGGTCTATGGACTTTCTTTGCCACATCCTCAATCACATATCCGAAACCCAGCCTCCATCAACAACATAATTGCTTCCCGTCACCGCACTCGAATCATCGCTAGCCAAGAACAAAATCACCCTGGCAACCTCCTCCGGAACCAAAACCCTCTTCAATGCCTGCGCCGCAATCGTCTCGGCTTTGTATYCATCCGTCAGGACTTCTTTGATCTGCCTCTCGGTCGCAATACTTCCAGGCATAACACTATTAACTCGAATCCCATCTTTCCCAAACTCCCTCGCATGCGTCTTGGTCAGACCCACGACAGCCGCCTTGCAAGCCGCATACACAGGCACTAATCACAATCATCAGCAAACAAATACCTCAACCTAGAAGAAAAGAAAGGAGTGCAAAAAAAAAAAAGAATAAACTCACGCCCCACAGAAGGAATCCTCCAACTAATACTCCCCATATTAATCACACTTCCTCCCCCATGCTCCCTCATCCCCTTAACCAACCACTTGGTCAAAAAAAACTGATGCCTCAAATTAACATTAACCCCAAATTCCCAACTCTCCTCATCAACCTCCTCCGTACCCTTCCTCGCCAATCCCCCAGCACTCGCAGCATTATTAACCAAAACATCCACTTTTCCATATTTCCTCACTACTTCCTCCGCGATGGATTTCAAAGCGCGTAAGTCTGTGACGTCGCATTGGTGGAATTCTGGAAGGTACTGAGTAGTGGAGTGGTTGTTTGCTGATGAACGGATTGATTCGATTAAGAGGGAGGCGGATGAGGTGGAGATGTCGAGGATTATGGTGCGGGAGCCTTGGTTTGCGAAGGCGGTTATGGTTGCTGCGCCTATGCCTTCGGCGCCGCCGGTTATGAGGACGGTTTTGTTGCGCAGGGAGGGGTAGGTTGCGTATTGGGATGGCATGGTTGATGGAGATTGTCAACTTTTTGTTGTTGTCTTGTTGGTGTGTTCGATTGCTGTTGTTTTTTCGTACAGGATAGGTAGATGAGGTGTATTCAATGCTTGATTACTTATTACTCACGCGGAGATAATGACAAACGTCTGTGATCCCTTACATTACCTATCGAAGCTGCTCGTGGGGAGCAAAAGTGTGGAGCACAGGCGGGGTGTGTTCTTGGCCCGTCAGGGATCCCATTCTTTTTTTTCTCTTGCTCTCGTAGATTGTTTCTGGTATTGATGATGACATCTACTGAGAAGATGCAGACATACAACAAGTACCTCCTCATCTGCTTAAGTTACTAGTAACTATACATTATAGTCCTGGCTACCATCTATATATAAAGATAGCAGAACGGCCCTGAAAGCGTATCCATCACATCACCAATAGTCGTTGACTCGGCTGCATAACCCATATCAATGACATCGGTGAACAGAGCCTTTCTCGACGGTGGCTGGTTTTGCCAGGTTTTGTGGCCGTATACGCCGCCGTTCATTTCTTCCTCCGTGTATCGCTCATCACCACAGCCGAGAAGTTGCCTGTGGGAAATAAAATACATTAGACATTGCTGATCGAGTTGGTGTAGGTTTCGCGGGGGTACTTACCAATACGTCCACATGCGGTCCATCATGCTGTGGTGCGTCCAGAAAGCAGGATCACCAGGAGATGTGAAGAGGTCACCGCCTGGGTCACCGCTCATGACATAGTGGATTCCTCCGTGAGGGCCAATCTCAACATAGGGAATGCCTTCGGAGAGAAGACGATACTCGGCAATGTCGGGCTTTTGAAGGAGGTCTGTACGTGCCTATCAGTATGTGTCATGATATGACCTGGCGTATCGACTTACTCAGTGTGGTGCTGTAGTTGGCATATCGCTCATTAACAGCAGGTCCGACATCTCTCTTCAATCTCCTTGGGTTATATCCCAACCCACCGTCTGGGCCCGGCTTAGTGGTGTTCAACCCAGAAAACGGTCCCAGGTTGACGGTCATGTTTGCAAAAGGACCCGTCGTGACATTGCCACTTCCAACACCTGGAGGGAGTTGCAGGGTGAGAGAAGAGTTTTGGGGAGAAACAAGCAGCGGTCCTTCATGCGCAATAAACTCGCCATTCCCTCCCAAACTCGTCTCGCTGCCATCGAAAATCGGGCTATCCTGTGGTGSGGAGGCATATTTAGGCCAGTCCCAGTATGGTTGATAGCCCTTGTAGCCACATTCCTCCCGCAAGGCTTTCTCGTACGAGTAGGTGAACCAGCGATGCCAGGGTAGGAAGATTCCCGAAAAGTGAATGTCCAGAGTCTGTTGGATGTGCACGACGACGAAATCGTCAAAGCGAGACCGCGCTCCAGCGGAAACATTTGCTGGAGTCCGAGCCGGTAGAGTCTGCAGACATTGTACGGCCCGGACGTAGTCCAATTTTTCTGCGTGTGAAAGAGCACCATATTCTCTTCGGAATACGAGGTTTTTGTGCGTGCAGGAGGATGTTGCGCCACTTGCGCGAGCGTCGATTTCGCGGGCTGTGACTTTTGCAAGGCCATTCGTCAGAGCGGTTGACGTCAATTTGGAGTATTCCCTCTTCTCCTCAGCATATTCGTCGGTGGATCCATGACTTAGGGGGGAGATGGCAAGCAATGCTGCTGCCAATGGGAACTTCATCGTGGATGGCGATGAATGAAGGGGACCAACGGGGTGAAAGAGGAGTGAAGGAATGAATTGCAGTATGCAGTAACTTACCCTCGCGTGGCGCCGCCGTCTCCACGTGCCGTCGTCCATGTTGACGGCGTTAGCAGGCCTTTGGCGAGATTAGATTTCCACGGTCCCACCAAGACAGCGATGGAAAAGCCACATCGTGGTCTGGGCATGGACTCCACAGTCTAACGCGAGTCTTCCCCTTTTATTGGATGAGACTCGGAGCTCCATACCACTAGAGTTGATCAGCCCACATCGGATGCGTGGACTTGCTCGTGTGCGGCGCTGATCGACAAAAGCAGGGCTCGGCAAGGTACAGCGTTGTCCCGTTTCCTTCGTGCCCATGTGGATTCAAGTGGGACTCGCACGCAGCTGTGCAGAATCATGCATTTTGTTGGCGCAACTGACAATGTTGTTTTTTTCAATGCCAGTCTCTCGCAAGACCGCTCTGGACGTGTTGCCCTCAAGACCTTCAGACATCAAACATCAATCGTGCAAGATGTGTGTGTGTGTGTGTGAAGCAGCACACTCCTCAAGCCAGAGAGTTCAAAAGGGCACCGGGATGATACTGGACCGCCTTCCGAGGCGAACCGTCAACGCCTCTCAGACCAGCCCGCCCTGAGCCTGAGCCAGTCATGGGCGCGGCGCAACTTCGAAGGAACCTGTGGATCCCCGGACGGCTGACCCAAATCCAACTCATACTTTAAGTCAACCAAGCAGGGACGCCTCCTCTTCAACACAGCCCTCTGTCTCTCATCGTTATTTCCCCATTCGCAGAGTGTGAAGATTCCACGCATGGGCGTGGAATTTGCTCATACCGATCCCGCCTAACTTACACATAATCATGGACGAAACACACGATGTTACCGCCAATCGAGGGCCCCGTATTCTCGGATCTTGCGTAGCATGCGTCGGCCTCGCGCTCATTATCATGGCGACTCGGATGTGGGTCAAGATTCGTATCGTTAAGCATGTTGGTCCGGACGATTACGTCTGCTTGAGCTCAGCGGTAAGTTTCGACGTCCATTCGTAAGCCACGCGACTGACTGACAACCTGCATCACCATTGCAGGTCGTAATGCTCGTCCAGATGATCTTGATCATCGTTCAAGTGGACCTGGGAGCCGGTCGACATAGAGATGCCATTTCTCCCGAGGAAAATGTCAAAGGCCTGCACATCAACTTTGTAACGCAGCCGTTGTGTCTGATCRGGCTGATGTTGGTCAAAGTCAGCATTGGACTTCTCTTGCTTCGCTTGACGACGTCGAAAAAGTTCCTACGTTTCATCTGGGCGGCAATCGTCTTCACGCTGCTGTCCTTCACCGCCAATTTCCTGGTCGTGATGTTACAGTGTCGACCGCTGGCATACACGTGGGGCGGGACCACGGATGGCAAGTGCATGCCTTCTTCAGGTGAGTGCATCAAGGCGTGAGAAGAGATCATGATGGCTTGACAATGTTTGAGACATTTGTGTGCTCGGCTAACGTCTGTCTCAAGATCTCAAGTTTGCCGCCTTCTTCAACTCCAGTGAGTTACATCCATCGCTCCCTCCCTTCATGCAGGTCTAACAATTCTAGGCGTATCCGTACTCACAGATGTAATCTTCGCGATTTTGCCGGCTATCTTGCTTTGGAAAGTGCAACTCAATCGCAGAACGAAGCTTGCCACGATTCCGGTGCTATCCCTAGGATTTCTGTATGTATTATCATGGCTTGACTCCCCAGGCGATCGATCCCTATACTGATCCTTTCCAACAGAGCGTGCGCTGCCGGCATCACCAAAATGTTCTATCTCGAGAGTTACGGCAAGTACGGGGACTTTCTCTGGGACAGCACGTACATAACAATCTGGTTTGTAGCCCTGGTGCATGACATCGGTCAAAGTTTGCGACAACTAACATGCCTCCTCAGGACCACGGTCGAAATCTGCGTCGCGATAATCGCCGCCTCGGCATACTCTCTCAAACCCCTCTTCCAAGCCATATTGAAAGACAGAACCAAGAACGGCAACTCCAATGGCTACTCCAAACGCGTCTCCAAACACGGTCCATCCTCCAGCTCGATTCAGCGCCTCCGCATGAAGCAAGACTACAACGATCTGGAACTCGGCTCTCAGCCCTCCCAGAATCCCTACAATGGAACATCGTCCTCTCACAACAGTAGTACCTATCATCACGAGGACACGCTGATCACAAAGACGACGGATCTGGCGGTTACAGTGAGCGATAGGAGGCCTAGCTATGATGATAGGTTGGAAAAGAAAGAGAGCTATGAGTATGATTCAAAACATCATTGAGCATCGGGTCCTGTGACAACGATTCTTACGATACTGAACGATCCCAAGGATGAATGATCGGTTAGACTGCGAACACGATATCAGCAGGCTGCATCTCCTCCTTTCCTTTCCACCCGGACATTTTGGTCGATCTGGTCTAGCTTGGCACACCCGATGGCCACGGTCAACGCAGATCGCAAATGCGGAGAAGAGGGGAACCCTTGCACATAAAGGCCGCAATATCACACCATGTGCACGACTTGACCCTTGGAAGGAAGATATGCAATCTGTGCCATGGGCAACCGAGCAAACCACGGGGTTCAAAAGGAACTTTCATTACACGGCGCGACATCGTCCAAACTTCTGGGGAGGGGTATTGAAATGTGCTCCTGAAGCTCGGAAAATGGAAGCTGTCAGGATCCGGCATCTTCGGATCTCCTGATCCCTGCAACTTGGTGCCTTCATCAGCCCCGGATTTCGATAGCGTGGAAATTGGCGCCAATTTTGTACGTTGCGAAGATCTGCCTTGTAGGTGCCTCGTACGGAGTATGCCGTTGACGCATACACGGCGACTGAGAGACTCCGGCTGGCCGATTGCTGAAGGTGGAGATGGAGCTCACCACGAATATGGAACCACAACCTGGTAGGGACGTGATAGACTGCTTGTAAGCTGAATCCATATGTCAAGGCGTGAAGGCGCTTGCAGATTGATGGACAAGCAGCTCGTCCTGAAAGTGTATTGTGTAGCATCGCGAGAGGAAAGACTTGGTGATTGGATTATGCAGACCGCCACAATTTGGATGTTTGAAGCCGTGACACGAAGATGATTGAGTGATGACTAGGCCGATGTGTACATACTATCCTTACCTCCAGCATTGAATGATCAATACTGACACTTACAACTCAAAGCCACTCATCACCTTGCGACCATCAAAATAAATTCATTACATAGCGTGTTTAGGGCAAAGCACGCGACGCGAATTCATACATTAGTAGTGGGGCCATACAGTACGCGCTAGCCACAACCTTGTTTACCTTCCAAAAACAAACAAACCCCCCCTCCAAACCATCATCCATCCCCACCCCCCCAAAAAAAAAACCGCCAAACAAAACAAAAATGGAAAACCTCACCATCTTAACCCTCGCGCACAACCTCAGCAGCAGCAGCAGCAGCAGCAACTCCTCCCTCCCCCCCACAGCTCTCACGGCAGACCTCGCGCACTACCGCGACCACTTCTCCAAACTCCGCTTCTCCTACCTCGAACAAGTCACCAAAGAACGCTTCCTACGCGCCATCGTCGCCGACCCACCGGAATTCGCAGATGCGGCTGAGAATTCAGAGTTGGAAGGGAAGATTGTGCGGGATAAAGCCGTGTTGAAGGCTAAGAAGGAGGAGGTGAGGGGCATGTGTGGGGAGTTGGAGGAGCAGGGTCGTTTGCTTGCTGGACGTGAGTGTATACTATTAGCAAGTGAGGAGGGTGATGGCTGATGATGGGTTTGAATAGGTTACGAACAGCTAGAACTCCGACAAACGCTCCTAGCAACTTTACCGGAACAAATCACAGAATTAGAACGCACGATCCAGACGCTTCGATTCCAGGAAAGCGAACAGAAGAATCCCCGTTCCGAGGAACCGGATTGTAATCTCCCGCTCCCGGCGAGTAAGGATCTGTTGCAGCAGCGAGAGCAAGAACTCACGAGTTTGGAATTGGAGATTCAGAGATTGGAAGCTGCGTTGCCGGCGCAAAAAGCTGAGGTAAAGAGGTTGAGGGATGAATTGGCTCCTGTGCAGTTGAGGAAAATTAAAGCGACGGAGGAGGCTGAGGATGCGAGGAGGAGGAGAGCAGAGGGGGGTGGGGATGAATTGGAGGAGAGGGGGAGGTGGTTGAGAGGGGTTGAGGGTACTTTGAAGGCTGCTTTGGAGGTTTAGGACGGTTTGCTGGGATGAGTACTGGTGAATGGAGGCGGAATGGGAGGGATTGGCGTTGGGGGTGTGATTTTCTTGATACCCGGGTGGGTGGGAAGTGGATGGATTGGAGCGATGGGTAGTTGGGTGAGTACTCTGCTGAAACATCTCGAACCCTTTGCACCTCACCATCGCGTGCTTTCTACCTTCGAGCGCAGACCATCGGTATGTGGATGGATCTAGCCAGCTTTGCGCTCCTGCCATCCTCGGAAGTCCGGAGAAACTCTTGCCCGTCATCCGAAGTGAATGGATTCCCCAGGCAGCAGACGAGAAGAAGCAAAGAGAACAATCTTTGAATCGGCGTGCGAACTTCTACCATCTTGGAGCTACACCTTTACAGACGTGCAATACCGATCATGATCGCGTTGCATAAAAAGATGTAAACAACTCGTCAGAGTGATCGATATAACAGCAATGTAAAGAGCTGCTTCGCACATCGGTACTCTATGATCACTAGAGAAGACTCCATCGACAATAAGCACGTCAGCAGCCCACAGGGCGATGATCTGTTAAGAAGATACTTCTTAGAGTCACATATATGACACACGACTCTCAGCTCGATAAGCACTAATACTAGGATCCTCGACCTTCCTCTTAGAGAACTACATTCGTGAAGGTAGTAAATGCTGTCTTTACAATACTCTTACAAGCTCCTACGATCCACGTTAATCACCTTCTTATGCTAATACTTCCAGATAAAGTATAGTGTAATCGCTATAGCTGAGGCATCCCAAGTCGATCCTAGAGTACCATCCGCTACGGTAACCTGCTAATGTGTCTTCCATTCCGATTCACATTTTATCCGCGATGCCCAATCCAAGCGAGATGCTGTGATTTACACCCGTGTTAAAACGCGATGACACAAGCCCCCGATTATGCGAAGGGGTATTATCGCTTGGTAGAATGGTAGCACTAGGAAAAGACATTCAGTTTGCGCGGATTATTTTCCAATCCTTCCTTTGCGCGACGGGGTTTACTGGGGAGGAATGATGGAGTACTTTCTACACGCCTCTCGTGAATAGGCTTGGCTACGAGCTACGCCACCAAATTCCTTCGCGTACTCCTAGGCAAATGACTTCGTAGCATGCGACTCGTAGTTTCTGCTCGAGATATAAAGATTTGAAGTGTCTTATGATGAGTATGTTTTCAACGGCAATAGCAAATGTGCTTAGGGACAAAGTAAAGTTACTCTCCTCATGATCACCGTCCACCACAGAAGCTGCTCAAAGTGAATCTCAATCGATGGAAGACGCCATGCTATACTGGTCTCTCAATCAACCGCGCAATCTCGAAAAATCTCAATTTTGGTTCTTATGTCTCTCATTTCTTAGCATTCAGCTACTTGTAATATAACTGTATTTACAAAGCAGCAGAGACAAAAACCGCCTTGAAAATAAATAAAAAATTAAACCCTTGTCCACCTCTCAAATACAATCTTTACCACAGCGTTTAGATCAACAGACCAACGGCACCAGCAGCAATAGCGACGAAAGATCCGCAGCTGCTAAGGAGCGAAGCCGCACCGGTGTACTGTGCTGGTGGAGGGTAGCTGCCTGTGCCAGTTGCGGAAGTACCGTTGCCGGCTCCGTATACTGGGGCGCTGTGTGTGGACATGGCTGGGCCAGTTGCGCCGGCGGTGGAGGCGGAAGAGCATGCGGTTGGGGTCATGAAGGTACCCTCGAATGGGTTGTAGTTCACGCAGGTAGCGAGTTGAGATGCGCAGAAGGACATGTTGGCATCTGGGGCGACCTGTAAAGAATTTAAGGTCAGTGGGTGTTTTTTGGATGATGGAATAGCTGCATGGAGGGTTTGAGACATGCTTATGCCTCCCACGCTTCGTTTTGCTTACTCTGCAAGCGTCGTACGCATCGTTGCAGGCCTTGGCACAGCTGTCACCAGATGGGGTGCTGGCGGTAGGAGCTGGAGAGACGTGTGTGTACGTGGCTGGGCCAGTGGCGCCAGCAGTGGAGCTGGAAGAGCATGCAGTTGGGCTCATGAAGGCACCGCCGGTGAAGGGGTTGTAGTTCACGCAGCTAGCAAGCTGAGACGCACAGAAAGACATGTTGGCATCCGGGGCGACCTAGAAAGTACAAGGTAAGCAGGTGTCTTGGATGACGAAAAGCTGCATAGAGGTTTGAGACATGGCTCTATGCTTCATTTTGCTTACCCGGCATGCGTTGTATTTCTCGTTGCAGGCCTTGGCACAGCTGTCACCGGAAGCGGCAGCCGGGGTAGTGTATGTGGGTGGGGATGAAGCAGTCTTGACAGCCGACGAGCTGGAGCAGGCCTAAAAGCGAAAGGTAGAAGGATTAGCGATGTCTTGGACAATGTTGATATGGCCCGTAACCTGGGTAGCTCGAGAGACATGTTCGAACTACCCTGTACGCCTCTGACCCTTCAATTTTCTTACCGTGGGTGACATGAAGCTACCTCCTTCGGTGAATGGGTTGTAGTTGACACATGAAGCGAGCTGAGATGCACAGAAGGACATGTTGGCATCTGGGGCGACCTGTAAAGNGAAGCTACCTCCTTCGGTGAATGGGTTGTAGTTGACACATGAAGCGAGCTGAGATGCACAGAAGGACATGTTGGCATCTGGGGCGACCTGTAAAGCGAAGTAGAGGTAAGTATAATGGAAAGCTGCATGGAGGTTCGAGACACAGCTCTATGCCTCCTCTCCTTCATTCCAACTTACGCGGCATGCGTCGTATTTCTCGTTGCAGGCCTTTGCGCAGTCGGAACCGGCAGCCGGGGTAGTGTATGTGGGTGGGGATGATGAAGTCTTGACAGCCGAGCTGGAACAAGCAGTGGGCGTCATGAAGCTACCACCCTCCTAAAGCAAAGTAGGCAAGGTTAGCTTGTGTCTTGTGGATATGAGGTGGGGTGTGTGGAAGCTTCATACAGTAAATGGGTTGTAGTTGACACATGAAGCGAGCTGGGAGGAGCAGAATGACATGTTGGCATCAGGAGCGAACCTGCATGCGTCCCACTTCTCGACGCAGGTCTTGGCGCAGTCCGATGAGCCGCCGGTGGTGCTCGTAGTGTATACAGCGGGGTGGGTGGCCGTGGAACTGGCGGCCGTGGAACTGGCGGCCGAGCATGCCGTAGGGCTCATGAAGCTACCTCCCTCTGTAAAGGGGTTGTAGTTCACACAGCTGGCAAGCTTCGATGCACAAAAGGCCATGTTCGCGTCCGGGGCGGTGCGACAAGCATTGTACGCTTCGTTGCAGGCCTTTGCGCAGTCGGAGACTGGTGCGCCAGTGGTTGATGGAGCTGGAGTAGTAGCAGCGTAGCCTGGCGGGGCGGCATATCCCGGGGGGGCCATTGCAGCGAATGCGCTGCCTGCGCTCAGCAGCATGATCATAGAGTTGGTAGAGAACGACATGGTGAAATACAATGGAAATGGATGGAAAGAAAACGAGTGTGAGTGTTTCTGAAAGCGAGTGTATAGAGAAAGTCAGGAGAGCAGGCGAGTGCAACTATATACCAGCCAAAGTAGGTCAGCGCAGGGTTTGTGATTGGACTGGCTCTGGCACAGGACTGTGTGAACACGAGGTCGTATTTAGCACGTCCCACCGGCGTCTCGTAAAGTGTGATGAATCTAACAACATCACCGGCCGGGGCGGTTTACGGGCCTCGTGTTTGGGGGAATTGGACCGTCGCCATCACATCCGCTCTGTGTATTGATTGATTGATTGATTGATGGATTGATTGAACGATGGATGGATTGAGGGATAGATTGACATGGCCTTATAATCGAACGATGGTGACGCAGGCTGGCGTGTGTATACTGTACATGCAATCCAGGTGAAGAATAAGCAATGAGCATCCTCGCTAATCGTGTCGGGTCTGGGATTCCATGTCGGTGTAGTCTGTCTACTGTGACTTCTGGGGCCGAAAGTCTACTACCTCTGATGTGAGATTTAGCCGGGGAAGGAAAGAACGGCGGAAATTTGCGACCCGGGTTCATGGCTCCATCGTATAACGTCAAGCCACCAAAATCCACGAAACCGCCACCAGTGGCTTCACTATACGACTCTACGAGAGCATGAATTTGACTTCGAAATTAGCCGCTTGCGTTTCGGGGGCCGATGCCATTCGTCCTTTCTGTTCATCCTCCACAATTACACCGACACCTGCCATCTCATCGAGTTATTTGCAGATGAAACCGTCTACAAACATCGACATCAACATCAAGTCCAGACGCAAGCATTCATGCATACGCCACGCCAAGTACGAGCAGTGCACACACACCGAGGCAACATGCAGCGCGTATACCGTAGTGCTACATGGGCTCAGCACAGCATTTCATCTTCGGGCGTGTTACGTTGACAAGATATTCCTGCAAGGTAGAAGTTGCATACAGATTCAACGTCTTCGACCAGTCAAGTGTTGGCTGTTAACAGTTGTGGTCCAGCCTCCATAGCCAAACATGCCGAACGAAGAAGCAAGGAGGATCTAGACTGCCACGACGTTTCAGATAGAAACCCTTCGAACAAACAAGCTGACTTCGTGGCACTTTTGGACCTCCCTCGTCCACCTCAGCTGCTGTCCGAAAGGAGAAACCCTGCAGTCTCTCTACATTTACATGCACCCCTGAATTGGCAAATCGACATGCAAGAGGGTCGAAATGATGACCCCTATCTTACGCTGTCCTACGCTGAGGCGTTTGCTCCCTGATGATATGCAAGGTACTGGCACTGCGCAGGACAAAAGTGTTTCTCRGAGATCAAAGCTTTGTGCTGGATCGAAGTGACTTGTACACCTCCCGATCGGCTGGGCAATGTGACCGCTTTGGGTGATGGTAGCCAATGTCGTCGAAGGAGTGAATCATGAACATGTCGTCGAATGACTGATCCTCCAGGAAGATTCAATCGCAATGGAACTGCGACTTCGACTTGCTGGGTGGACCTGGCTATTGCCCAGACATCTGAATTCCGAGCAAGGATTACCAAACAGGTATTGAGAAGTTCTTCGAAATCGGATACGTGGCTTGATGTCCAAGCAGAAGCCTTGCTGCGTTGGTGTTTAGGTTGAAGAACCTTTCTTGGTACACATCATTACAGGCCATACCGCTTGCTGCTACAAGCTACACATCTCAGCGCACATTCCACTTTAAGCGAGCTTTGATATCCTACCGCGACTACCTCGCAAGGCCGGAAAATGAGGCATGGCAGAGCTACTCGATGTGGAAAGTTGTATATGGCAGATGAAGATAAAGTCTGGGCACTTCGGTCGTGTTGTTAAATGATGGCAGGCTCCAGCTTCAGGTGTGCAATGACCGACAAGCTACAATGGCATTGTTCTCGTTGCTCAACTAATGAGTCGAATGTCTATCGACAACAGTGACCTCTTGGCGGAGTAACAGGTTCTAATGTGGCGATGCTACCCAGTTTTCAGCCTATGGGTTGTTAGGAAACTGCACTAGTATGTCGCTGCGACTACTTGCACCACTTATATCCGACATTACGCAAGAAGTTTGGATACACAAGCAACAACTACAAACAGTTGATTCGAGWCGATCAAGTCTGAAATGTGTCGATAGAAGTCGTCTTTCTAAAACTAATCTCAGTCAGCTTGCCAAAGCAAAGCAATCAAATCCTACTCCTCCCGCTTCCAACCTTCCCCCGAAAGCCCACTTCCGTACCCGTCGCCAATACAGTAGCGAACCCGCTAACTATCCCACCCTAATAAAAAGCATCAAATTCCAACCGACGAATCTAACAAGGTTGTTCGCATGCCCGGATACCTTTCCCTAAGCTCATCCAAAACCGCTTTGAAAGCATCATTACTATCCAGCAATTACAGAATCATAAGACCAGCACTATGATCCGTTGCAAGATTTGATATATGATCGAACAGATTCAGGAATGATCGATTACGAACGACCGAGATGCAATCACACGAATGAGTCTTTGTCTATTGGAGATCTTACAGGTAGCTCAACCTGTAACTTGAAGCCTTATGCTACCGATCAATGGTAAATTTGAGGAAATCGCTGCAATCCTTCTAGTGCACGAAGAGCGATGAGGAGGGATTCACGTTCGAAACTTTGACAATTAATTCATTTGCTGTGGCTTGTACCGACCTCTTTTATTAATCTACCAATGCCATTGCATCGATTGCGAAGCCTGTGGTTTCAATTTACAGGGCATTATGTCTCAATTCTCAAAAGAACGGTTTTCTTGAGAGAATCAATTCTTATAAGAACGGTTTTCTTGAGAGAGTTCAGCATGCCAAGGATGTTAGCCAGATGGTGTGAGTGAGATAAAGTGATTCGACAACAATAGAAGAAATAACTGAGATGGAGGTACTTGCAAAGTCCAATAGTACGTATGTGTAGCAATTATCCATGTAGTTATAAGTGTTATAAGTAACGCGTGCTAGCGATGTGGTGAGGCCATCAAGGGAACCCCTGAATTTGTTCACATACAAGCAGACGGACATTCGGGATGACACAGTTTTGCAGTTCTGAATAAATTTCATGGCTATGACACCTCGAATGCTAACATATGAGCTTGACTAGTCGGTCGTCATATATCGTTGATTAGGACATGCCTCTCGTCCCAATCGGGAAAGTGTGAGTAGAAATGTAGCGAGTACAGTATTTTCTGCCCGCTCGAATGTCTGAGAACCTGCTCCTCCTTTTCCATTTGCTTTCAACCACAGCCACAGGAAGGGAGACTGCAAKGAATCACACCAACTGAAATGACGCAGCACCTGAATTTGACAGATGATCATTGTAGCACATATTACCTCCGAAGAGAAAATAGTATAACTCTCTTCCTCCTCCCCAGCACAATCCAGCATTCCACCCCTCATCCAATTTCAATCCCAATCACACCTCCTCCCCCCCAACAAACCTCTCCGCCCTCCTAACCTCACCTCTAACCCCCCTAACCAACCTCCTAGCCTTCCTTCCCAACAACCACATCCTCAACCTAACCCTCCAAAACCCAGCCTCCGAGAAATCCCTCTCAAGTCTCCCAACCTCATCCCTAAGCATCTGAACCTCTTCATGAAACCTCAGCGTCTTGATGAAAATTTCCCATAAATCCTTGACTGTTTCCTCTGTATTTTTACTTTTTCTTCCTCCCATAATCTCCTTATTGATTGGTAGAGGAGTATTGTGCTTGATTTCGAATTCGAGGGCTGCGAGGTAGTATTTTGATATTTCGAGATCTGCTTTTGTGGTGAGTAGATCGGTTCGCTGTCTGATTCTTATGCTTCGGAAACGATAGGAGGGGGATGAGGAGACTTTTAGGAGGGAGTCGTAGCGGGTGGAGAGAGTTTCGATGTCCTTTCGGAGGGTGAAGATCTGGGATTGGAGGAATTTTCGGCGCTGGGTTCTTTGTTGAGTCGACCGTGTTGGTATGTGGCGAGTACTAGGGATCATCGTCTTGGTGGAAAGGGGTGGTAGGAGTTGGGAATTGTTGCGGAAGTTTTTTGGTAAGGTTACGTTGGTGTTAGTGGAAGGATATTGAGAATTCTTTATAACATTGCACGGTATAAGGCACGATTAGACGTCACGCTTAGGAGTGATCAACGTGACTTGGTCAAATGGTTCTTCCATGACCATCATTGGCGACATTCTGACGTCCCTTAGCAAAACATCAAAAGATCATCGGTGGAAGGTATCTCCAAGCGGAACATCTCTCAGCATCTCCCACTCCACCACTATCCTATTCTCAATCGCAATTCAAATCGCCCAAATCTCCCACCTCATCGATTGTTGAACAGCAAAATTTCCCATCAACCTACTTTGTACATCCGCCCTCGGAAACTCCCCTTCTCGCGCTTCCATACAATCTTTCCCACAGCCCAAAACTCTTCCTTAGCCAAATGCCCAATTCCCAAAGCCGCCAACTGATCAATATAAACTTATACCTTTGAGACTTCCCGCTGAATCTCTCGAAAGTCTTTACGCATCCTTTTCGTATCTTCGTAATACTCTCCTACTCTTGTCAAAAGCTGTTGCAGTGCCGTCGAAGAAAACATTCTGAAATACTTTGAATTGGAAACATTCTGCACGGAAGGTCCACATTGATAGATTGTTCGGATTTGCGGACGTTGTTGATATACCAGGCGTAGTCTATTGTGTTACATTCTGCTGTATGATTCGTATCATTGCGTCTTCGCTTGATTTCGGAGGCTCGTATCCTCGAGTGTTGATTTAGAGGCGACACAATACCTGAATCCCACCGTCCCAATCCTATCGGCCACGTCGCACAGGTTCTAGGAGGAGTCTGGAAATAGACCACATCGCCTACCTCTCCACAACCGATCGATTCTTCCGCCCCTTGGACGAGAAGTTTGGGATCTAGTCAGTCGATTCGTAATGTAATTGGTCGATACCCGCAGCATCATACTCAGCCGCCACCATTGCTCATCTTTGCCAAGCTCACCAAGTCTCCTGCAAAAATCTCCCCTCCTTCTCCATCCTGCCCAACCACCTCTCCCCTGCCTCCCTATCCCACTCCATCTCCCTCATCAGCACCTCGACAAGCGCCTCCCTAACACCTTTAGGCATAGCTCCCGAACTCCCACAAACATAGACCTTCCCTCCTTGCCCCACAATCGCCTCCACAACCCTCTTTCCCTCTTGTCGGATCAGATCTTGGACGTAAGCCCTCTTCTCGCCACTCTCCTTGCCGGGCCTCGAGAAAGCCGGAAAGACTTCTAACATGCCCTCACCAGCCTCTTTAATAGCATCCCATTCATCTTTGAAGAAAAAGTCCGTCTCTCGACTCCTKCAGCCGAAAAACAACATAATCTCTCCCTGCTGTACTCCCTCCTTCTTCCAAGCAAGTTTCTGATGGATCAAACTCCTCAACGGCGCAACACCCGTTCCAGGTCCAATCAACACCACAGGAGTACCACTCTCCTCCTTCCTGACATCAAGATATCCTTGTTCAATCTTGATGCAAACATCCACTCCCACCTCCCAAGTCTTGACGTATCTCGTACAAACACCATAACGTCTTCTCCACTTGATGATCGGACTGGGAGGATCGGCAATCGCGATCAACAATTGTACTCTCGTGTTCCCATCGGCATTMCTCGTGAGATGCCCACCAGAAGCGATACTAAACTGCCGCCCTCGCATGATCGGAATGATGGAAAGGAGGCATTYCCAAGGTATCTTGAGAGTGGTGAAATCCATCAAAACTTCTAGGATTGTACGTTTGGGACGGGTGGTGTAATCCCATAGCTCGTCGATGAGTTCCGGGTTGGCAAGTTCCACCAACCGTTCCTTTTGGAAGGCCTCGTCTTCGGTGGCTGTGCCTGCGAAGTGTAGGAGGGAAGCGAAGAAGGAACGACGGGGTATTGACATGATGTCCAACACGTTTGTGAGAAGGTAATGGAGCGTTAGTGTTGTGTGGGAGAGGTCGAAATGGCGGAGTGGAGAGGGTGTGGAGAGCGGTTTGATAGGAGTCGTTGGGATGACATTTAAGGGAGTGTGAGCGATGTCGGTCCAGTTCATGAGGTCGATGAAGTTGGAGACATCTGCGGGAAAGTTCTTTGGATGGATGACTGCGACTGCTCCTGGGCCGTATGGGACGCTTTCTTGAAGGTGGAGGTCCAGAAGGCGGACGTCTTGAAAGTGGTCGGCGGAGGTGAGTCGGGTGTTGGAGACGACTTGTGCTGTGTGGCCTTCTACTAGAGGGAGAAGAACTGTGGGAGGAGGGACTTCCGGGTCTGTATCGTCTTTTGCGTGCGTGCCGTTTGTGTATTGAGATGAATCAGATGATGACAAGACTTCCAGCTTCCACTTTGGCTCGATAAAGACATCCTCCGCAACGGGTTCCAGACCATGAGGAAGTGGGAAGTTTTCAACGAGTTTCTGCTGAAGTTGCACCACCCACTCCCTGAAACCTGCACTGTGTCCTTCAGGATGCTGTTCATTCCCTTCGCCTCTCTCACAGAAAGTCTGCGCACCGAGTTGCAGTAATCGTCCATGGAGCATTCGATGGGCRACATTAAACTGTGCATATGAAGAATCTCCCAGGCCAAATGAAGAGAAGCGCAGCTTTCTGAGAACGCCCGGTCTCAACGCACTACTGAGCAGCGTCTTCCAAAAGACACGGGCATTCTGAGGCATCTCCCCTTGCCCGGCGGTGGAGAGGACAAAGATGACGAGACTGGGCTTGACAACATGTCGTAATTGGACGGAATCGAGGTCGAGGACCGTCGAGTCAAAATGCAATCTTTCTGTTAGACGGCCAACCTCTTCGGCGATGTCTTGAGCATTGCCTGTCTCGGAGCCGTAGAGGATCAGAGCGGTGCGATTACTACTGAGCGTGCTGGTCGGCCGGAGATTGGGTTAGTATCAATCACATGCAAATCTTGGAAGGGTGATCAGACCAGGACCTACCGATGGATTCGCCTTCCCGCAATGACATTATTGTCGCCTGCCATCTCTTCATCGTCTACTCTTGCCATTGCAACATGCAGAATTGAGCTGACATGTGTCTTCTAAAGTATGTCTCGATTGGAATATGAATGATGTCGTGGTCACCGCGGCTCTCAATCCCGAGCACATGTGAGCACAATTTCCACAACCTCCGTCGTCATGCGGGCCGATTTTAACATTCACTCGATTCGCATATGCGTGCAAAAGTGGCGTGCAGTGGCTCCAACACCCATCCTGTGGGTCGTGATTGGCGCGGGGCGCAGTGCGGGATCCAAAGGCGGGAGGCGCGGACAAGACCCTGGAAAGCAAGTCTTGGCCAAGAAAGTGCAGCGCGAGCCAGCCCTGCTTCCAATCGCATCCATCAGGAGATTCCCTCCTCTCCCCATCAACAACATCAAAGAACTGCATCTGTCACACGACACCGCAACGCTCGTCCCGCACACTCCTCTTTGATCTTGCCCACCAAGCCAGGCATCAACTCTCTGTACGTTCCCGCTGACAATTGCCTGTTTTCTCGCGATTTTAGACACACCGACATCATCCACCTCACCCACACACAAGCATACTTTACACACACCCACACACACACGTGAGCAACCCCGACTGACCAGCCAATCTTTCTTGCGCGTGCAGCTCGTCAATTCCTCCAGCACCATCAAGACCATCCAAGGCTCACACGATCCTCCCAACCAACCACCTTCGTGTCCCCCAAACCAATCTCCAGCCATCCAACATGTCCGTCGACGCTGCCACGGCCCAAATGGCCACCACTACCCTCAACGAGCCCCAGGCCACGGCTGAAGGCACCACCATTGGTGCCGGCGGCGACAAGCCCATCAACGCCAGCCAGAACGAGGCCGTCATCGCCAGCGCCGCCGAGGGCCGGAGACTATACATCGGAAACCTCGCCTACGCCACCACCGAGGGAGAGTTGAAGGACTTCTTCAAGGACTACCTTGTGTATGTCTGCCCGGGCTTGATGATTTACATGACCACCAGCAGCTGACAAAACATCCCAGCGAGACGACGTCAATTCCCACCAACCCGCGCACTACTCGCCCCGTCGGTTACGCCTTTGTTGACGTATCCACTCCCACCGAGGCCGAGCGCGCCATTGAGAACCTGAACGGAAAGACGATTCTCGACCGCAAGGTCTCTGTCCAGCTCGCCCGCAAGCCCGAGCCCGCCGCGCCCGCCAACGCCGAGACTGCCGAGGGTGGTGAGGGCACTCGTCGCCGCAACAGCACCCGCGGCCGTGGTCGTGGACGTGGCCGCGCCGGACGTGCTTCCCGTGGAGGCCGCAAGACTGGTGAGGAAGGCGCCGATGCATCCACCAACATTCCCGCCCAGGACAACCCGCTTGCCGCCACTACCAACGACGCCACTGCTGTTGACGCCGGCGCGGAAGGTGCCGACAAGACCCGCCAGCCTCGCAAGCAGCGCGGCCCACCAGAGGACGGTGTCCCCAGCAAGACCAAGATCATGGTTGCGAACCTGCCATACGACCTCCGTGAGGAGCGCGTAAGTCTCGCAATCTCACCTCCCATTCTACATGCACAACCCACTGACTGCCCTTCAGCTCCTCGAGATTTTCGCCGACTACTCGCCCACTTCGGCCAAGATCGCGCTCCGCCCAATTCCCAAATTCATGGTTCGCAAGCTTCAAGCCCGCAACGAGCCACGCAAGGGCCGCGGTTTCGGCTTCGTGACTCTCTCTAGCGAGGAGCTTCAGCAGAAGGCCTGCTCCGACATGAACGGCAAGGAGATCGAGGGTCGCGAGATTGCTGTTAAGGTCGCGATCGACAGCCCCGGCAAGGAGGACGAGGATCCCACCGCTCCGGCTGAGGATGGCGCCGCCGCTGAGGCTCCTGCCACAGAGGCCGCCGCTCCCGTGGAAGCCACCACCGCCGCATAAGCGACGAAAAGAGACAACCCGCGACAAGATGAGAACATGGTCGTCCCGTCTGATCGGCCAACCAGTTCTTCTGCTCATCCCGCGACCTGACCGACACGCACGGAGCATTGTTATGCAATATTCATCAACTACACTGCGGCGCAGTTCGGGCAGGAAGGGAGACTTTGAGCAGACATTGAATGACAAGAGTGAGCAACACCACAAAAAGCAAAACTTCCACCTTCTGTAGAACTATCTCAATGGCGAGCCCGAGGGAGCTCCATCTCGGCTTTGTCCATGCAAATAGTGTCTGATTGCTGCTGTCTATGGGTGCAGGGCTAGCTTGTATTTCACCAAAATTCACCTTCAAACGATGATGTACTTTTAGATGCGATCATGTCTGTATCCTTCCCTTGATTGGGTTGTCTTTCCAGGAACATGCAGGAACCCATGCCAGCATCCCGGCGACCCTGTCCTTGTCGTTGATCACGTTCAAAAGAACCTTGATTTTGGATCCCTGATCATGACTCGTCAATGTAGATCTCCAGATCTGTGATGAGACGGTCTTCACAGGCTTGACTCTTGACACAGGCGGTCCCTGCATGTGCATGTGCATGTGCATGTGCATGGAGGAGGTGTTTTACAATTCGGACTTCACCTGCCTGGTCAGGTTTGCCCCACGAAAAGCAAGATTCAAGCAGTTGGACATGATGCATCAAACAGTCGAGGCGCATGCAGGAGTACTGCAAGTCAAACAAGCCAAACAGCAGTGCTCCGCGATTGTGATGATGTAGGTCCGACAATCATCCAATGCATGTTGCTGCAGCATGATTATTATATTTCTTCCGATGTGTGTCACTTGCGACGATCGAACGAACAATGATCAAAACCATCCATTCAGAGGTTGATAGGTGATGTATACATAGATGAAGTCATTCCTCCCCATAGAGCCTAAAAGCTCTTCAGTCACGCCGTGGTATATTCCCCTGTTGACGACGCCTTCGCTGCCCAAAGTTTTTCGTGCCAAGTCAATATGATACAGTCTGTCTCTCTTCGCTCGGTCAGTCATGAGATAGGTCGTTAGTAGTTAGGTTCCGTTCTTCCCTTGCACGCGCGTTCATTCTCGCTTGGCGTTCATGTTCCCACTCTCCGCATCAGGACCGTGCAAGTACGGTGTTTCGCCGCCCTTGGAGCTGTATCCACTCTCACTGCCATCCATGCGAATTGGAGGCCTGTTGGGATTCGWTGGTTGGATGGTCTCACTGCCTTGAGTAACTGGTCGACCGTTCTGACTGCGCGGGCTGTTGACAGATGCGGCTCCGGCATTGCTAAGACGGTTGTGATTGATAGACATCTCCGTCATCGGAATGGACTCGGTGGGCTTGAGTTCGAGATTCTGGGTGAGAGCCACACCAGGGCGGGTGATATCCGCTCCACGGGCGGTGTTTTCCTCATCGAACGAAAAGGCCTCGTGCTCGTGCTCGTTAAAGTCCTGACCGGGGTTGGCGGTCTCGTACTCCAGGGTCTTGATGAAGTGGTAGAAGCCGACCGCCACCAGTGATCCGAGCAATGGACCAACCCAGTAAATCCAGTGTTCGGTGGGGAAGTTTCCAGTGACGACACATGGGCCGAGCGAACGTGTTGGGTTAAGAGAGCCTGAAGATCAATGTCAGTTATGCGCGCTTGTATTGCCAATACGAATAAATCTCACCTCCTGTGAAGAAGACACCGGCCAGCTCGGCAATAAAGAGCGCCAGACCAATTCCCAAGGGAGCCAGGAAGGTGCCCTTGTGCTTCTCAGCCGCGAGCATGAAGATGGTGAGCACGAGTTCGGCTGTGAGGAACATCTCGATGACTATCAAGGAGTTAGATGATGGCAGCGTTTGCTTTCGAGATGGTCAACTCACAGAGTCCCCGGGTGACGGAAGTGCTGCCATTGATACTGGTTGTCACGTTCAGCGGACCGGCAAACAGTCCTGAGACCACCGCTGCCGCAGCGATACCACCGAGTATCTGGGCGATGAAGAGGAGGACGGCGCGGTGCCATGTCAGGGCGCCGATGAGAAACATGCCGAGAGTGACAGCAGGGTTGAACAGACCTCATCAACGTTAGTAAAGAGCTCTYCGTTCAGGACAAGGAATATATGAAGTTTACCACCGCTGATACGGAAGAAGACCCACGCATTGACAGCCAAGCTGAACCCAAAGGCGAGGGAGATGTAGATGAGAGTACCGGCGTTGGGCACCTGACTAAGAGTGTTGTTGTTGCCGGTCTGACCACCTTGTGCAGCAGCGTTGCCGACTTGGGTTGCAGCGAATGCGAAGAAGAGGAACAAGACTATGGGGTGAGTGGTCAATTTTGAGGCATTTTCCGCAACGCGACAAACGATCAACGTACAGGTGCCGATAAACTCTCCCACCGAGGCAATGAAGTGGTTGCGGACTCTGTTGGGTAGGAAGCCCAKGTACGGAATGCGCAGTTCGTGTTTGTGTATCTTCTTGCCATCGCCGGCGCGATAGCCGTTTTCCGAGTCGGGCGTGTAGGGACGGGGCTCGACTTTCAGCCGCGACGGCGCCCCAATGGGATTCATCTTCTTGGTGCGTACAGACCGTCGGTCCTGCGAGGTGCGAGTGTCGTGAAGGAGTGCGGTGCGTGTGGATGATGATAAAGTTCGTCTCCGCGAAGGGTGCCGAGGAGTAATGGTGAGGACTGTTCTGAGGTTGGTCGATGGGGTGCGATTCGTGAGGTGTGTCGGATCGAGGAGGGTGTATGAGAGCAACGGGCTGTGGCTGGATGGGGGAGGATACAAGTCAAGGATGAGGAAAGGTTACGACAGAGGTTCGCAGGAGCTGGAAGGAGCAAGTGCTAATATTGGTGACGAAGAAGTGCCAGAGAGCCACACGGCATGCAGGATCGAGAGGGCTCGAGAGGAGGGAAGGGAGCAGATCTCTGGTGAGAGCCAGATTCCAACGCCATCGTGTCATAAACTTTGCAATAAGATTCGGTRGTCTTCGGGAAGCCTCAGACGGTAAAAAGTCTATGGGAAGCGTGAAGACGGTCTGTCCTCGGTTGTCGTCGTCACTGGCTGCAGGCTGCAGAGCGGGATTGTGCACGCATTGGTGGTATGCACTGCTACATGTAGGATGTACCTCTCAGACGAGAGCCGATCATGTCTAAGGTAGCCCTTGGTGAGGTGTCGGAGCAATACCATGTCATGAATGGAACGTTGACGGTCTCGCTTCCAACTCTGGGGACTACTTCAACCGTCGGGATGGCTTCTTAGCAAATGTCCGTCCATGCAGACGAGTCGCCGGTGCGCGTCCGAGACGCGGAGTGCGTCAGCAAAAAGGCATCCCACATTCCTGCTCGTGCGGCAAGGCGCCCGACGAGTCCTTGTCGGGGAGGCGTGAAAGCGGATGCCTCGACGCATGTCTGAGCCAGACATGCGGGGACAGCTTTGCTTGATGCTGCCAAGGGCCGTGGAAATTGAGCCGCCTCTCCTTCCTTACAGTGCAATGCTCGCGAACAGGTGACTTCAGTTGGCAGTAACTTAGGCACGAAAAGAAGCGAGGACATGTCAACAGGTCTCGACGAAGAGATTCTTCTCAAGCGCATCCTCCACGTACTGTCGGGCGGCGGCCTTCATTTTCACCGGGCGGGCTTTGTGCTGAGGATGTTTGGCGAAAGAATTGCCGCGCTGACCATGAACCATTACTTTACCAGTACTTTAGCTGTGTCCAGAACCGGCTGGGTCCTGATACATCGCCAAACTGGGCCATTTTCTGTGCTGCTGGTGTTGATGATGTTGTTGTTCACAAGATGAACTGAAGTGCAAACAAACGTTACATTATCGTGCGGAGGATCCTTGCTGGCGATTGATATGGCTGTCCTTCCGCTGGAATCTCACCGGCCCTTGCTCGTTCAATTTTAGTTGTTCGTGTGATCGAACCAGTTCCGAGGCTGCATCATCGTCATCATCATCACTCCAGACACCAAGTTGAAATGAACACGGCCTTTAAACCGCGCCTACAACACGACGTCCGTTTGTTGCATCGGTACCGCTTGATGAACAACTTCCCGTCCAGCACCGGCGTTGAATTATCTTCATTACAAGTACTGCTATTCCTGCATCCTTGTTGTACGGCGGTCAGGGCAGGGATTTAGCGTGATCGACCCTGAAGGCCTGTCCGGTCTCAAAGTCACCCGCCCCTCCTAGGCTACCCAACTGGCATCCACACGCCACTGATTCTGAATACAACTGCTGCCCCAAACCTCGTCCATGTGCTCACCTCACCCGCTCACATTCACTTCACCCTCCCGACACGCATGACGCAGTAACGGAAGCGACAAGCGGTCGCAACTAGGTATTCCCGACTGCCTGATTCGTATCTCTTCCCTCTCACCTGCGTAAATCCAACTCGGCAACATGCGGCCGATCCGCTTCCTGCTTACCATCGTTTCTTGCTCCGCTGCCTTTCTCCTTCTCCTCGCCGTCGGACCATGGCAAACCTCTGCTGAAGAGAGTTACCAAGCTCGAGGAAACTTTGGAGCCTTCTTCGACTGGCGAACACCCTCCTCGCTGTTCCCGCCCTCCGCCATAATCAGCATCACTGATGACAATTCCACAAACTTCCTCGCCAGACCCGCAGCGTTCGGACCTCTGCTGCCCGCCAGTAGCCTGAGTGGGCAGGTGTGGATAGGTAGCGGCTTTGGTGACGATCACCTGGGAAGAGGTGGCTCAGGCGCTGGCGCCGGAGGCGAACTGGGCTGCAGTGATGTACCCGGCTGGGACGATGGGGCGTGGTATGGTGCAGGGAACAGAAAGCAGGGCTTAGGTGAGGGTAGAAAGAGCGCGTCAGACTCCCAGTCTGCTGGTGGCAAGAGCAAGATTAAGAGGAGCTCCACTATGGAACAGCAGGACGAGGAAGATGCGGCGATGGAACGCCCGGCTGAGAATGACGGCACAGACGACTATCTCCACCATCCGCTGACGGTGTCTGGAGCAAAGGGAGACTCTCTTGCTAACACGAAGAAGTCCACTCATGCGGATATTCAATCACTGCAAGAAAGTGCCGAGATAGCCGGGAAAATCGTTCTGCTCAGCCGTGGCGGCTGTGGGTTTCTTGAAAAGGTCAAATGGGTGCAAAGAAGAGGCGGCGTTGCGTTGATTGTGGGAGACAATGTCCGTGGCGGCCCGCTCGTGACAATGTACGCTCGCGGCGAGACTTCAAACGTGACCATACCTTCCGTCTTCATCTCGCACATGACAGCACAGCTGCTATCCAGCTTGATGCCGACTGGCRGTCTYGCTGGCTATGAAGAGGACTCCAGCAGACTGGGTGTGGCTCCCAGCAAAGTCGATGGCAAGGTCAAGATCAAGGGCGGCAAGAAAGCCGCGGACAAGCCATCGTTTACTACCACAGTTGCATATTCACGACCCATTGCTACRGCAAAGGCTGTCAAGGTGGAGAAGGTGGAGATGACGGGAGAAGAGCGTAAAGATGCTCATTCGAAACACATCGGCTGGTTCGCCTCCTGGCTTGGCAACAATCTGGAGCAACCTGAGGACAGCCGACGTCCACCTAACAGTGGAAACATCGGCCTGGTCCTGCATGAAGAGGTCGAAGATGAATTGACCGGCGAAAAGATTATCAAGCCAGCTACCACTTCCACCACGTCAGCAACACCCTACTCCACTCCCAAACACAGCTCTGGCGATGGCTTCGTGATTGGCGTGCAGGATTGGCGGGATCCTGATCTCGTCGCTGAGCAAAAGGAGCAGCAATTGGGCCTTCCAGACGACTCGTCATCTTCGACATCAACAGTGGTACCAATCGCGGACGTGAAGGGTACRGATGTGCCGATTTCGCCTTTGGAAGGTGGAAGCATCACCCCAAGCAGCGGCGAATACGCGAAATCTAACCACAAGGCCATCGACATCCCACATGCCACAGAGTCTCATTCGGAAGACATCATCACTACGTCTCACCAGACAAGCCCGGATGATCATCCGGACTCGTCACGCAGCTGGCTAGGTCGGCTATTGTACCACTCCAACCCCAGCAAGTCCGCCAAGACTGGCTCCATTCTGCATGAAGCTGCACCACAAGCTGTTGTCGATCCCGCAGCACATCATGTAAAGACCGGCAGCAGCCCAGATGTGTATCACTCCGACACCTTATCTACTGATGAACCGCAGGTTCACGAAGGACTATGGGTGACTCTCTCGCCCGCTTCCATGTCTTCTTCACCTTTCTTCGGCACGCTTCTGGTGTTGGTCGTATCTCCGTTGGTGACACTCACCGTCGTCTACGCTCTACTGTTATTGCGCTCACGAATTCGCCGTCGACGATGGCGGGCTCCTAAATCAGTCGTGGAGAGACTGCCTGTCAGGAYATACCAGACCATGCCGAGTGGAACCACAAGCTCGACAACTTCTTCGGTGGCATCGCTCGCTAATGCAACCACGCCACTGCTGCCGACTGCTTCTCGGCCGATCAGTACGCAAGCCAGACCACGTGCGCGAACAGCCTCGGAAGTACCACAGGGCTCTTCTTCGCTTTCAGACGGCATGGYAAGTCCTTCGCTCGAACAGGTTGAAGAGAAGCGCGCCGCCGGTCTGGCAGAGTGGCGAAGAAGATATGGTGGTAAGCAGAGAGAGTGCGTCGTATGTCTGGATGAGTATGTCGATGGGGTGAGCCGCGTCATGAGCCTTCCTTGTGGTCACGAGWTCCACGCGGAGTGCATGTAAGTTGGACCAGCCTCATACTCACCTTGCCATTCGCTGACAGAATGTTACAATAGCACACCATGGCTCACCACGCGCCGCCGTACCTGCCCCATATGCAAAGGTGATGTCGTTCGTTCTCTGGCACGCTCCGCGGGTTACACGTGTCCAGGCTCCGGAGGTTCCTCTCATTCTCCAGAGCATTTCCACGACGATGAAGAGCATGGGGAAGGTGAAGCAGAGAGTCACGCTGCTGAGTCAGAAGCCTTGCAGGAGCAGGTCGCTGTCACGGTGAATGATGAACCGACTGCGCAGCTTCCGGTTAGCAGGGAGGACGAGGCTTTTGAGGATTTGGAGCGGGGTCTGGATAGACGGCGATAGAGGTCTGCATAAACAAGCGGTCGTGGCTGGCAATTTCATGATTTGGAATTTCTTGGATGAGTGCGTGGTAGATTTGGCATGGGTTGGGCGTTTTCGAACTTTTGGGGCGAACAAGGCGTGATGATACCCAGTTTTAGTCTATAGGGATGGAAATATGATGGGATGAAAGTGCTTGCTGCGTTGTCTCGTCTTGTCCTGTGGTATCGTTCATCGGGGAGTTCCATTTACCATCGTGCTAAGCTCAGGACACGAGCGTAATGCTCTTTGTGTGTAGAAATAGAAATGGGAAAATTACAACATGAGCTCAGTTGACTTCCAAGTTACTTGCGTGAGGTAGGGCCCAAAGCGGCGCTACAGCGCTTGATCATAGTTTCAATCACTCAATATCATCACACAACTTGCCTTTCACAGCTTCCACGCTCTTGTTGCGCAGAACGCAACGATGCCAGGCCTCTTCGGCGACAAATCACACTACCCCAACCCTAACCCTCCGACCTCGCCTCCTGGATCAAAGATCACCCACGGCCCGAGTGCTCCAATTATTCCCATCGTTTGTGCATGGACGGTGCGGGGATAACGCGTCCTTTTCAGCAACTCCACCTCACTCGTCAGTGCCAGCGCGATGGTCGATATGCCGTCGGTAAAAGCCCACAACAGGTAAGTGCGATGTGGACCTTTGAGCTGGAGCTGAACTTCACCTTGGCTGGCAAGTGGCCTGTTTCATTTTCAATTAAAGTCAGTTCCTATTGTCTTGACTGCCATCGGAGCAGTCGTTTCTCTTCTTGCGACTCAGGTTCGAGCGAACAGGATTCAAACGATACCAGGCCAGTCAAATTCTAATTCTTCTCGGAAAACTGCAAGCATGGCGACAACTCCCAGCAAAGCCATTGTAGCTTCCACCCCTGGTCCTACTCACCACGGAGCAGAGAATTGGGAGATGACCAATATTCTCGTTCCTACAGACCTCAAAGATGGAGAGATCTTGGTCGAAATGGTCGCGACGGGAATCTGCCATACGGATATCTCGTTGACCAACCCGGAGATGGGACAGACTTTCCCAATTGTGCCGGGTCATGAAGGTCTGCCATCCCGCGTCTTCCATTCGGTATCGCGCGAGATAAATTAGTCTCTTCTGACAATAAACCTACAGGATCTGGGTATGTCAAAGCCGTAGGTCCGAATGTCAAGAAAGCACTCCAAGTCGGAGATCCAGTGCTTCTGTCGTTCGACAGCTGTGAGAAGTGTCACTCCTGCCAATCCCAAAGACCCGCATATTGCGACACATTCGCTCCAATGAACCTTTTCGGCGAGCAGGATGTCTTCAAGTCGGAAGACGGGAACTCACCAATCGCAGCGAAGTTTTTTGGACATTCGAGTTTTGCGAAATTGAGCATTGTGAAAGAGAGTACCGTGCTTCCCGCCAAAGATCTGATCCAAAGTGAAGAGGAGTTGAAGTTGTTTGCTCCCCTTGGGTGTGGTATACAGACGGGTGCGGGTGCGATCTTGAACCTCGTGAAGCCCGGGCCGGAGGATCGTGTGTTGGTTTGTGGGCTGGGTGGAGTGGGCTTGAGTGCCGTTATGGTGCGTAGAGGACGGAGCTATCTTTTGATCACCACTGACGCCTCAGTCTGTCGCAGGGAGCCCACATCGCAGGATGCAAGCAGATTATTGCGGTAGACAAAGTCCAAGAGCGTATCGATCTCGCTAAGAATGTGTTTGGAGCAACACATGGGTTGAACACCACTGGTCTGACGGATCTGACGCAGGCGATGAGAGAAATCGCGGCAGGGAGAGGACCTACCGTGGTGATCGAAAGTGAGTGTCTCGCTGCCGCCCTTCGAATCGCCAGGTACCTGACGAGTCCTAGCAACCGGTTTCCCTCCTGTCCTCGAAGGCGCATACTACGCCCTCGACACGAAAGGCTCGTTCGTCCAAGTCGGCGGACCTGTGGATCCCAAATACAGATTCTCCATGGATCTCGTACAGCATCTCTTCCGCGGAGTCAAATTGTTCGGTTGTGTGGAAGGAGACAGCATTCCCGGAGAGTTCATCCCGGAGATGATCAAGTATTACYGAGACGGGAAGCTACCGCGTATGTTGGCCCATGTTTGTTGAGAGGAGTTATCTTGACTGATGGTATGGTAGTGGACAAGATGGTCAAGTATTATGATGCCGAGGACTTCAAGACGGCCTTGCATGTAAGTGTCTGATTCTCGGGTGGCGACGGTGGTACTGACCTGTATTATAGGACATGCATTCCGGGAAAACGATTAAACCGATCCTCGTATGGTGAGATAAATGGATAGTGCTGCATAGCCGTGGCATACAAACTCCAGCCGAATAAGATGGCGAGGTTCCTCCTCCTATCAATCGAAAATGTGATAACGTGACCACAGAAAACACGAGGCCCGGACGACGTTTGATCAACGTCATCCCGTATCTATGCGGTTTGGATGTGACCAAAAGATTAGATGAGCGCGTGGTCCGGAACGGGCTGTATCTGGATTTAATATTTTAGCGCGTCCTCAACCCGTGACACACATATCTCGACTCAATTTCGAACTTTTCCCCCGCTTCTCTTTCAATCTCGCACAGAATACATGGTCTATCATCTACCTTTGTCTGACAACACAAGCAACCCCAAGAGAACCTCAGATCAATTCAAATCCCCCCAGATTGGAATCCGCCTCCTGCCGACTCCCAGTTAGCTATCATGGCCGAGAATACGGGAACCAAATCGCAGCAGACCAACGGCAATAGTCGAGGCACTGGTATAACCGAAGTCTGCGATGTGGTCAAGTATGTCTCCGACACTGCCTTGATCGGCAAGGCCCTTACCGCGCAGTTTCCCGAAGCTGGCCTGCGCATCGACAGGTATGCGATACCGCCAAGTTTTTTTTTACTACATCTACTGACAATGTCTAGCAATCAAGAACTTCTCAACAACATTCGCGAGCCCACCAACGATACCGTCGGACGGCAGAAACCGCGTGGTTTGCTCGACCTGCCCCGCGAACTGAGAGATCTCATCTACGTACATGTCATCGGAGAATCAACCACGAGCCTACGGAGCGCCAACAGACCTCGACACGTCTCAAATCCATCGCATCTCGCTCTCAAGCCATCTCCCTACGCAACGAACAGTGGCATGGTCGGCCTCAACGTAAGTTTATATATCTTGCGGCACATTCTTGCCCGGAAGCACTACTAACATCTTCCCAGCGACAAGTCCGTGAGCAGTTAACCGAGATGCTCTGCTCTGCTCCAGAGATTAAGCTCACTGTGCGAATCTCCGAGTATCTCAACTTCCGGCATGCCGTCAAGATGGTCGAGTCCTGGATCACTCACCCGAATGGTCGTCTGACCAAATGTCCACTAAAGATCACCATCACCATCGACGTCCACGACTGGGACGAAATCATGATACTCGAGGACTCGTGGCGTAGGAATCGTCGCAATGCTATCCATAGCGTGAATCGGTGGCTGAAAGCCTGGAGCAAAGTGTCAGACCTGCCGGGCGCTCCGAAAATCAGCTACACTTCGCAAGGCACTGCACAAGAGCTCTCGGCGTTCAAGTGGTTTTTGATTAACACGGATCCAGCCTCCGGTAATGTGGCCTGCTCATCACATTGCAGCCTCATCATCTGGAATGTCAAACAAGACTTCGAACGAGTCAATGACTGCGAGATTGAGGCGTTTTATCGCCGCCAAGCCATTGACAAGTTCAGGGATCCTATCATCAGCACGGAGAGCTTGCACTAGAATTGAGATGGTATGCTGATGTCATTTTGTTGGATGTTCAGGGATCTGAAGAGAACAGGTCCACCTTGGAAAGCGGAAAGATAGAGGAAAGTTGTGCGAGAATTCAATTCCACCTCGCGTTGGTCGATTTTACAACTCCTTTCTCTTCAATTGTGTATCAACCATATAATATCTTATCCAACTGCCTATGTCTCACCACAGCAGACTCAAAAGTCGCACATTCGTCTCGTGCTAAAAGACCCCCAGCGTAGAGATCGTACAGCTTAGCAACGCTCCTCCCACGAGCGGGAAGGTCTTCTTGCCAGTCTTCCCACTGCCAGTCAAATCTGGAGACTTTACCATCCGAGAAGCTCAGTGCTTCAATCAGGATCGGGTGCATATTGGACTCGGACTGTAGAAATGGGCCTCTCTCGCTGGAGACGCGAATCTCCCCTTTCTCACAGCTAATGTCCCAGGTGAATGGGACAGTGCCGGGAAATGGTGGCCCTGTCCTGAAATTGAAGAGCTCGTAAAAGTCAGAAGGGAAGTCGATCGTGTCAACTCAAGACGGACTTACCAAGCTAGCGCCTGCTGCCACAATTGATGAGCTCTGCAACGTTCCGTGGACGGATACCAGATCTGGAACATCAGAAATATAAGGTCTTTCGTCGCCAGTTTTCCGATTGACGATTCTCTGGTGTGGACGCTGTATCTGCACATGTGAGTTCGACGTCACGTACTCCCCAAGCGCGGAATGCACAAAGTCAATCACTGTTCGTCTGTTAAGCGAACGAAACATCAACATAGCAGAGCCATAACTTACTATGGCCAAATGCGATAGTGATCGGATTTCCACCAACTTTCTTATCCAAGAAATATCCAAGACCCTCTGAGATGGAAGACCGGTTACCCATAGGAGTGAAGGCCTGCACGGAGCTGCTCAGTACTTTACCCAGCTCGCCGCCATGCAACAAATTCTTCAGCGTAGCAACGGCGGGAGCAACTCGAGCTTGCAAGCCGATGATAGTCTCCGAGCCGCTCTGCTTCGCAAGCTTGGAGAGTTCTTCCGCGCGCATGGCGTTCTCTGCCAATGGCCACTCCACAAAGACTGCTTTGCCCGCTTCAACACTGGGCTTAATGGTGTCGTAGTGAACATCGACTCTTGTTGTACATACGACTAGGTCGATATCCTTGTCTGCAGCAAGCTCAGCCGGCGATCCATATGCCTTTGTATTGGATGGCAGCTTGTAGAATTCAATTGCGCGCTGTGCAGCTTCAACGCTTGAGTTTAGCAGAGCTTTGATTTGGTATCTTTCACGACCACGATCTGAGAGGAGATACGGAAGGTGGGCGACACTGTTTGCTAATGATCAGAGAGGTCAATGTCGAAAGTGCTGAGGCTCTTACCTCGCCCATGAAGTTTTGGCGGATTGAGATAAGCCTATTATTGCGACTCTGACAGGAGCCATGGTAGGAATGAAGGATGATTCTTGGTAGGAAAGATGCAAGGCGACGTGCAACTGATATGACCTCCCAGACTGCTGATCTATGGCTATATTGGTAGTTTGTCAGCAGCACCTTGAAGGATTCAGCTTCGTATGTCGTTTGTCAGCAGTTCTACGGTACTGCGGTATCTCTTTGCATCGGAGGTTGTTCAGATCCACAGAGTCCTCCAGAGCATTATAGCTCCGGTGTGTTGGCAGTGAACCAATCCTCGCAAAACCACGGGCAAAGCGGATCTTTGGCTATTGGGAATAATTTCCGATACAAAGAGACGCCGTACAACAGCATTGTGGACACTGTTAACTGGCCGACACTGATGCCACATCGGTTGCAGCCAGCTGTCATATGGTGTGTGGACAGATATGTTTCTTCCGGTGACGTGAATCAGCACGGGACAGTCGAATCAGTAATGGCTGATCATCGACTTTTCTTCATCATCATCCACTCATCCCACTGACTTCCATCCCATGTTGCATGATTCAGGTGCTTATCATGAGGTTGAAAGTCAACATGCGCATGACGCAAGCCCAGACCATGGTTCATCGCAGCGCACAGACCTTCTGAAGGATCAAGGACCAGACAACCAGATAGCGATTGCGGTATAGAGTTTCCAGTGCCTCTTCCAGCGAATGATAACCATTGTTCTGCTCAGATGCGTCACTGAAGCCTCGCGTGCCTGGAACCTGCAGGTGCTGTATAAAGACGCGTCTGCCTGCGATTAGTGTGCGACAGGCCATACCATAGATCTGCAAATCTAGCAACGCAGAGACCTCTACGATGAGTTCCACATCATCTGCCGCAGTCACTCTTATCACTGGGACCAATGCTGGCGCACAGGTGCCATACATYTYTKWKTKKRWTSA